CACTAGGGAATGCCCGCCAGGCACTCGGCCGCCCTCCTCTCCGGCTCCATCCTCTCAGCGCACCGCGTGTCTCCGTACCTTGGGCTTTTCCAGCTCCTCCGAGCTTCCTTCTGGTTTTCTCCTTGCTTCTCGTAGAATTTCCAGTCAGTCGACTTTCCTGTAGTTCTGGGTAATGTCCATTTTATATTTTAGTTGTATTTTATTGAAATTGTTGTGTTGTGTGCGGCTGCGGCTAGGTGTTTACCTGGGCGCAGCCATCTTGGATCCTCCCATGAGTCTGTTTCTGTTCTGTTTGTTTTTTAGATTCAATCTAGATACCGGGATTTTGGTATTTTTTTTTTCCATTTTTATTGTTCATATTTTTTATCTTTTTCTTCTTAAAGAAGACACTTTAGCATTTTAAAAAATATATATATTTTATTGATTTTGTACAGAGAGGAAGGGAGAGAGATAGTTAGAAACATTGATGAGAGTCATCAATCAGCTGCCTCTTGCACACCCGCTACTGGGGATATGCCCGCAACCAAGGTGCATGCCTTTGACCGGAATCGAACCTGGGACCCTTCAGTCCCCAAGCGGACGCTCTATCCATTGAGCCAAACCGGTCTCGGCAGCATTTTTAGTAATACTTGTTTGGTGGTGGTGAACTCCTTTAGATTTTCTCCCTTCTCTGGGAAGCTCTTTATCTGATCTTTGATTCTAAATGAGAACTTTTCTGGGTAGAGAAATGTTGGTTGTAGGTCCTTGCTTCTCATCACTTTGAACATTTCTTGCCAGTCCCTTTGGCCTGGAAAGTTTATTGAGAAATCAGCTGACAGTCTTATGGGAGCTCCCTTATAGGTAACGGACTGCTTTTCTCTTGCTGCCTTTAAGATTTTTTTGTCTTTAATCTTTGACATTTTAATTATGATGTGTCTTGGTGTGGGCCTCTTTGGTTCATCTTGTTTGGGACTTTCTATGCTCCCTGGTCTTGTATGTCTATTTCCTTCACCAAGTTAGGGGAAATTTTCTGTCATTATTTCTTCAAATTGGTTTTCAATTTCTTGCTCTCTCTCCTCATTCTGGTACCCCATGATGTGAATGAGATTTTGAAATTTTCCCAGAGGCTCCTATACCACCTCATTTTTTGTTTGGATTCTTTTTCTTTTTGCTGTTCTGATTTTTACTTGCTTATAATCCAAATTGCTGATTTGATTCTTAGCTTCATCTACTCTGTTGATTCCCTGTAAATTAGTCTTTATTTCAGTTCATGTATCCTTCACTTCTGACTGGTCCTTTCTCATGCCATTTTAGGTTCTATGTTCATTGCACATCTTTATAACCCACTGGAGGCCTGATGCATGCAATTCATACAGCCCTGGCTACCTTGGCCCTTGTGGCCCGGCTGCTGTCACACTCTGCGTGACGATAGATCACAGAACCTCACTCCCCCATCAATCACTCGGCAAAGGATGGTGGCAGCCCTGTGGCCACGCCCCCTGCCCACTGATCATTCCGGAAGATCGGTCTGCCATCTGGTCTAATTAGCATATTAGCTCTTTATTATATACCTGGCAGGATGTTATGAACTCTGCATCTGGTAGATTATTTGTCTCCACTTTATTCTTTTTCTGGAGTTCTGTTCTTTCATTTGGGACATGTTTGACTCCTCATTTTAGCAGCCATCCTGTGTTCATTTCTATGGAATTATGTCTCCTGGGCTTGGTAGAGTGGCCTGTACAATAGTGGGTGTTCTGTAGGGTCCAGTGGCACAGCCTTCCCTATCACCCCAGCTGGACACTTGAGTGTGCCCCCCGTGTGGTCTGTGTACCCCTTCTCTTATAGTTGAGCTTTGATTGTTGTTGGCATGTCAGTGGGAAGAATTTATCGTAAGGCCACTTAGTGAGAAGGATGGGGCATACCCAGGCCAGATGCTGCTTATTTGAAAGTTTTAGAAAAATCTGAAGCATGAGCCAAGACAGGCCAGTAGAATGGAAAAGCCACTGGAAACAGCTTGGATGGGCCTGAAAGTTGGGTGTTTGGGATCTCAGGAAATCACTAGGACAGGGCTGACTGTGAGCTGATATGACATCCACCTGCCAGCTATCTGGGGGAGGGCTCAGCAAAGGAACAATGGCCTCTGCCAGCAACTCTGTCTGGGAGAAAGCTGACCCCCAGTTCTCACCCTGATGCCAAACAGTTCAGTTCCTCTTTGTATGTCTCTGGCGCCTTTCAAGCTGCTGCCCTGTGCTGCAGCTAGAGGGTCTGAGTAAAGATATGTGTAGCCCTTTAAGAGGAATGTCTAGGACTTGAGCAGCCTCCGTCTCCCTCAGCATCAGTCCCCCTTTTTTTAATATATATATTTTTTATTAAGTTTTTACAGAGAGGAAGAGAGAGGGATAGAGAGCTAGAAACATCGATGAGAGAGAAGCATCGATCAGCCGCCTCTTGCACGCCCCCCCCATGGGGATGTGCCCGCAACCAAGGTTACATGCCCTTGACCTGAATCGAACCTGGGACCCTTCAGTCCGCAGGCTGATGCTCTATCCACTGAGCCAAACTGGTTTCGGCAGTCCCGTTTTTTTACAGCCAGAAATTATGGGGAGCCTGGTGTGGGGCTGGTATTCCTTTCTCCTTAGGGGGAACTCCCCAGCCGAGATATCCCTCCCAATTTTTATCTGTCACACAGGCCCTTGTCTCCACCCCTCCTACCAGTCTCAATGTGGCTTCTTCAGCTTTAACTCCTCAGTTGTAGGACTCCATTTGGCTAGATTTCATGGGTTCTGAACCATGGTTGTTCTGTACATTAGTTGTAATTCTGAGATGGTTGTGGGAGGAGGTGAATAACACACTTATCTATGCTGCCATCTTGACCTTCAAAAGTCTAGCAACACAATTTGGAAGATGGACAAGTGAGAGCTGATTCTGTAGCAGGAGGGAGCAAAGCCGGCAACGTGACTGCCTGTGAGGAGAGGGACAGAGAAACTAAGAAGTAAGCCATTTGACACTGCAGAACCCTGTAAAGGATCAGGAATTAAAAGTGGGGAGAGCCCTAACTAGTTTGGCTCAGTGGATAGAGCGTCGGTCTGCGGACTGAAAGGTCCCAGATTCGATTCCGGTCAAGGGCATGTATCTTGGCTGCGAGCACATCCCCAGTAGGAGGTGTGCAGGAGGCAGCTGATGTTTGTCTCTCATCGATGTTTCCAACTTTCTATCCCTCTCCCTTCCTCTCTGTAAAAAATCAATAAAATGTATTAAAAAAAAAAAAAAAAAAGTGGGGAGAGTCTGCCCAGTGATAGTGACTTGGTCACTCGGTGGAGCTCTGATCACAACCTGGCACTCCCGAAACTGAACTCCATCTTTGCCGCTGGAAACAGTGCAGTTAGAGAAATATTACCTTATTTATCTTAGGAATGGGGAGAGGAAGAGAGAAACATCAATTTGCTGTTCCACTTATCTAGTAATATGCATTCATCTGTTGATTCTTGTATGTGCCCTGATTGGAGATTGACCCACAATCTTGGCATATCGGGATGATACCCTAACCAACTTAGCTACCCAGCCAGGACAATATTATTTATTTAAAAAATAAAAGATTGGGCCCTAGCTGGTGTGGCTAGTGGAGAGAGCATTAGTCTGTGGACTAAAGGATCCTGGGTTCAATTCCAGTCAAGGGCACATGCCTGTGTTGTGGGCTCAATCCCGAGTAGGGCGCGTGCAGGAGGCAGCCGATCAATGATTCTCTCCCATTACTGATGTTTCTATCTCTCTATCCTTCTCTCTTCCTCTCTGAAATCAAGAAAAAGTATATTTAAAATAAATAAATAAAAATAAGTAAAAGATTGGTTAAGATTCAACAGTATGGTGGGTACGTAGGTTTGCTGAATTTTCTCATTGTGATTTAAAGATCTCATTAAGAACCTACTTGAAAGAATGAAACACATGTAACATCCACTCAGTCAAGTTTATTGAAGTATCGTGTGCTCAGCACTCAATTACAACAGATAAGGGAGATACTCTGCACTCTTGATTTGCAGGCATTTCCATGTTGCTTTGGGGTATGTGGTCTCCTCTTTCTCCATGTCCCCAAAAGCTTCCAGAACTGTTGAAGTATGTGCCACTATGGACGCCCCCTGAAGAACGGGGTGGGACAGAAAGGTGGCCTCTTGCTGATGGGTCAGAGCTGAGGTCCCCTAAAGGGGAGACATGTTGAGGGAAACTACTGACCCTGGCGAGAGTAGAGGTGTGGGTTCAGGGTCCTCAGTGAATCAAGGCCAATGTGGGGGAGCCACAGAGGCCGTGGGACCCTCACTCCCCTCCCAGCAGGAGTGCTGGAAGTGCTAGCACTGTAAGAAAAAGATGCACAGCTACACGCTGTCCTGGGCGCCGCCAGGCTCCTCCCCTCCTGATGTGCTAACACCAGGCACTAGCATCACCAGAGGCCAATGGGGGAGTCTAGAGCCCAGTGAAACAGGGGTAAAAGTCCAATGTATAACCTATGATGCTCAAGAGGAGGAGGGACAGTGGGACAGAGCTACCAGCAGGAGGACTGGTCTGCGCTTGGCCGGGGGCGTTTTATTTCTATGCAGTGAGCAGGGCTCTAAGCGTTCAGAGTGAGCAAAGCTACACAGCACAGGAAGGAAGCCCAAGACATGCAGGCCTTCCTGGCCCCACACCAGCATGTCCTGTGCTGCTGTGCTAGGCACTGAGGAACACTGGTGGAGGCACAGAGCAGGCCTAAGTCACCAGGGCCATGCCACACTTAGATGCCAGATGGCATCAGACACACAGGCAACAGCTCTATCCGCTTGGCATAGGCATCCCATGCAGGCCCCCAACCTGAATAAGAACAAGGGCAACCTGTGCCCTCAGGCTCAGAACCCTCCTGTAGATGACGGAAGCACCCGCCAGGGATGCAAGCACAAGTGGAAGTGGCATCTCACTGGCAACATGGCCAGGCAGAGGATGCCGTGGAGGGGAGGGTGCCCAGGGGCATGGGCACCTTCCGTCTCACCCTCAGCTCAGAGCCAGATCTCCTCACTGCTCACACTGGACACCCGGTATATGTAGCCCAGCATTGGGAGACGGATGAAGCCTGCCGGTCAGAGATGCCCAGAGTCTTGGTGACACGCATTCTTGGAAGTCAGGAGGCCCCTCCCTGCCCCGAGGGACTCAGAGGCATAAGTACAAGGCTGAGGAGCAGGGGGGGTGGTACCTCGGCTGGTGAGGAGGCCGCCAGGTTCTGGCTCCAGAAACTCTGGCTCTGGCCGGCTGCTGTTCCAAGCTGTCGGTCGGTCGGCTGGTTTCTCTGTAGGGGACAAGAGGGGTGGGGCCAGGATAAGGAGTGCGCCTGATGGGGCCTTGCCCCTCCTAAGTACCAAGGTCTCTTTTTCTCTTAGAAGCATCTCTGAAGCTCACTTGGTTAGAGCATCATCCTGATACACCAAGGTTGCTGGTTCTATCCCCGGTCAGGGCACATATAAGAATCAGCCAATGAATGCATAAATAAGCAACAAATAAGCAAACTGATGTTTTTCTCTCTCTCCCCACCCTCCTCTGAAGATAAAAGGGGTCACGGAGGGCCCGGAGGTACCTCTGGAGTCGGGAGTGAGGTCGTTGAGCTGCAGGTTGGAGGGGAGGGACATGTTCTCGCGGGGCAGGCGCACGTTGTTGAGCTTCAGGTTGTTGGAGTCACTGCAGGTGGACGAGCCTGGGATGTGCCCTGGCCCAGCAGCCTGCGTCCTGCTTTGGGTCCAGTTCTAGGACTGCCCCGTTCCATTCAGCCCCGTTCCCAGCCCGGGGGCAGTTACCTGGAGAGCAGAGACGGGCGCCGGGAGGGGCCTGAGGAGAGAAACCATGCCATCACTTCAGTGTGCCCACCCTCCTGGCCTTTGCCCCCTGCCGCTCCAGACCCAGGCCTCTCAAGCAAGGGGGTCTCTCAGACGCAGCCCTGGCTCTGGGACCAAAAATGTTGCTAGTGCCTGGCCCTGCCACCTAGATGCCTGTGGTTGCCATGGCCACACCCCAGGACACCGGTCCTGCCACTTGTCAGATGGCTGGTTCTGCCCGCCTGCTTCTGCTCTGCGCTCGCCCTGCCCCATCTCCACTCCGCAGCCACCCTCCCCACCACCCTGGCCCTACCTTTGGTCGACTTCTCTTTCCTGCAGACCAGGCAGGCCACTAAGGTGCTGAATGCCACCAGGGTGCCCAGCGATAGCCCTCCGGCCACAATGATGCCCAGCAGTGGCACTTCCACCCGCGTGGCCAGGAGTCCTGCAGGTGGTCCTTGGGTTAGGTTCCAAGAAGGCAGGGCCCCCAACTCTGAGATGCCAAAGGTCCGACTGTCCTTCCCCAAGGTGCTGGGACCGCTCACTCCCAGCCTCATCCAAAGGGCAGCAGGTCCTCCCGTTCTGTACGGGCGGTCCACGCTCACCTGGGGCTGGGAGCGAGGCACTGGCGACCCCCACGTCGTTGGCGGCGACCACAGAGAGGTTGTGCGCCAGGTGGCGGAGCTGCAGCTGCACTGTGTGGTTGGTGAGCCAGGGGTAGCTCCTGGCGTCCAGCACCAGGAAGTTTGAGGTGTTGACAGTCACCGGCCCGTCCTGGTCAATCCAGGTCACATTGGCAGGTGGGTTGGCACGGACCAGGGCAAAAAGAACCACCAGGAGGCCCTGGCCCCGAGCTTCCTGGTAGTTGGCCCCGACCTGGGCAATCTCCGGTTTAACTGGGGCAAAGCAGAGGCACGTGTTCTCCCCACAGCTCCTGTACTCCTGCCCTTTCCGCCCACCCCAGAGGGCCTTCTCCTCCAGGGACACTAGGAAATGGAAGGCTGTGTCCACCGCAGAGGCAGCATTTTGTAGTGATCAAGAGTATAAACACAAGACCGGCCGGTGTGGTTCAGAGACTGAGCATCAACTTATGAACCAGGAGGTCACAGGTTCAATATCAGGTCAAGGCACATGCCAGCGCTAGAGGGACTCGGTTTCCCCAGTAGGGGGTGTGCAGGAGACAGCTGATCAATGACTCATCACTGATGTTTCTATCTCTCCCTCTCCCTCTCTCTCTAAAAAGTCAATAAAAACATATATATTTTTAAAAAGAGTATAAACACTAGAGCCAAAATGTATGGATGTGAACACTGGCTGTGCTTACCAGCTCGATGTGTGATCTCTGCCAGATTACTTAACTTCGCTGTGCTGTTTTCTTTTTTGTAAAGTGGAGATAACAATAGGAATTCGCTCATGGGATTATTTGTGAGGACTAAAGTTAGTTGGTATTTGCAAAGCGCTTAAATGTGTGAAATGTCCCATCAGACCATCTGCTATGTGGCTGCTGGGGTCCCTGAGCCCAGGGACACTCACATTGCACATTGAGGATGACAGAGGCGTTGGCTGCCGGGCCGCTGCCTGGGTCCTGCAGGGAGCAGTTGAGCTCATGCTGAGACCGCTGGGCAGTGACGGTGAGGGTGCTGGTGCCTCCAGAGAAGGCCTCCCCGCCCACACGCAGCAGCCGAGAGGTGCTGGCCTCCTGCAGCTGCCCGTCCAGGTACCAGGCCAATCGGGGGGTGCCAGACACCCCTGCCACTCGGCAGGTGAAGGGGTGGCGTTCATTCTCCCGAAGTGCCAGCTCAGCCCAGGCCTGGCCATCGATTTGCGGTGCCAACTCCCCCCAACCTGGAACACGACAGAATGTTCTGGGTCGGGATGGTACTGCTCTGGGACCAAGATGAGGTCCAGTTGGAGGGGCGGCAGGCGCAGAGCCTCCACAGGGAGTGGCTGCATCGTGGGTAGGTGGGTTGGGGAAACCCAGCGCTGCAGCCCAGGGCCTGAAGGTCGAGGCAGGGAAGGAGGGAGAGGAGACGGCCCAGAAGTGTCCGAGGCGGGTGTACCTGAGCTCAGGAGGGCTGGCAGCAGCAGCAGAGTGTGCGGGAGGGTGGCTGGGCCTGCGGGCAACGCCATGGTGGCCGCGGCCCGGCTGCCAGAGGGGACGGGCCTCGACATTAGCCAGGTGGTAGCGGGCGAATGTACTCCTCCAGGAATCAGCTCTCCAGAAACAAAATGAACCGGCCCACAGGGCGGAAGGCGAGGAGGCGAGCAGCCCAGCACGGCTCGCCGCGCCGGGGAACTGGCTCAGCTCCGCAGAGGCGAACGCGGGGCCGCGCGGCCCGCCCCGGCGCAGGGCCCCCTGCCGCCCTCGCGCCCCTCCCGCAAGGGGCTGTCCGCTCGGACCCCGTCTCACCCGCCCCGCCCCCTTCCTTCCGGCTGCGGAGGCGCGGGTGGGCTGAGGAGAAGGTGGTCCCGCAGGCGGGGGTCGCGAAGAGCACCCACCGCGCCTCCCGGCCCTCACCTCGCCAGCGGCCCAGCGCCGTCCCAGCGGTGACGGGAGCCGGCCGGCGGCGCGGCGCGGCGCTAGGCTGGACCAATCAGCGCCGGGGCCGCAGCCTCCTGCCCCGCCTCCGGCCCCTGCGGCGCAGGCGCGCCCCGCCCCGGGCGCCTTAGCCCCGCCCCTGTCTCTGAGGCACGCTCCGCCCGGCCCTCCCGCGCAGGCGCGCCCCTCCCCGGGCGCCTTAGCCCCGCCCCTGTCTCTGAGGCACGCTCCGCCCGCCCTCCCGCGCAGGCGCCTCCCGCGGCGGCGCAGAAACGAGAGCAGAGTGCGCGCTGGCGGCTTTATTGTGGGGGCGCCCTCCCCCGCGGGGCTCAGCGCGAGGCGCGCTCCCCGCGCAGCTGCCCCATCACGTCGGCCAGCATGCGGTTGCACAGCGCGGCGTACGGGTTCAACAGCACCAGCTGGCGCCGCGCGAAGGGGCTGCCCAGTCGCGCCGCCCGCTCGAAGTCCCGGCGGGCGTCGTCGTCCCGGCCCTGCAGCCGCGCCAGCAGCCCGCGCTGCACGAAGCTCTGGCGGGCAGCGCGGCCCCGGCCGCCGCTCAGCTTCACGGCGCGCTCCAGGTCCTCCAGGGCCCCTGCGGACAGCGAGCACAGCCCGGCTCAGGCCTGGCGCGGGGCCGCCGTTACCTCACACAGATGGACCCGAGCGCCCAGGCTCGCCCTGGCTCCTGGCTGCGGCCAGCGGCTGGCAGAGCCCTTACCCGTCCTCCCCCTCCCCCCGCACACACACACACACACACGCAAGTGCTGGAAGCTTTCTGAACAGTCACCGTGCTCAGGAGTCTGGCCCGTGCTGGCCTGAGCAGGCAGCTGATTCCCCACGGACCTGGTCCCCACCTGTCACTTGCCAGGTGACTGAGTCCCAGAGCCCCAGATAATGACAGTTTCTTACAAATACAGGCAAGCTCAGGTCTCTTACTTTTTCCTTTTGAAGGCTTTTGTGTCCTTTTCCCCACTGTGTGACTTTTTAACAATGAGGAAGGGTCCTTCCTTAGTGCCTTTTTTTTTTTTTAATTGGTTTTTAGAGACAGGATGGGAGAGAAAGAGGGAAATGTCGGCTGCCTCCTGGGATGGCACCTGCAGGCAGCCCCTACCCGGGCATTGAGCCTGGCAGTCTTTCCGTGCTGAGCTACACGGGCGGGGCTCCATTGTGTGATTTTTTAACTTTTTCCACTGACTGTCTTTCCTCATTCTTTATTTCCATATTCTAAACTATTTTGTATCTAATTTTCTTTGAAGGGGGTCTTGGAGCCAGAGCCGGCCTGCCTCATTTTACTTTCATTGTCTGTCCTCACAAAATACTGGGGCGAGGCATGAGCTGCATTTCTTCTGGGTTCTCTCACTTCACTCTTGCCCTCCATGGTCTAGACGAGAGACCCTGCCCGCTGGTTGGGAGCTCCATCCTAGGAGGCTGAGCTGCCCTCCGGCTGTTTCGGTCCCGGAACCCAGCGAGGGCTCTGGCCCTGGGCCTTTGAGCAGCTGATGGCAGCACTCCTCGGTCTGGAGGAATGGAAAGCAGCCACTGGTCCTCTCGGGTTTTGGTCTGCAGGCTGTGCCCAGCTGCAGGGACCAGCCAGGGCCAGCCAGCCTGAAGGAGGGTCTCCGCTGTCCCATAGTGGAGTCCAGACCCCAGCCTAGCAGTGCTGGTCGCAGGAGCACGCCCACCACCAGGAGCCTTAACCGTCTGCGCTCTGGTTGCTACCCCTGCCCCGTCCCACCGCCCCCACTCCGGCTGGGATGACCTGAATGCGGCAAGTCTGATCCAGTGACTCCCAGTTAAAACGCTTCAGTGATTCCTGCTTACTTCCAGGCCCTGCCCATCCTTCCCCCCTCCCTGCCCGGATGTTCCCTGCACCTGTCTTTTGTGCCTTCTGGACCTCTACAGGCTGCGCCTCCGCTTCCTCCCCTCCATCCAACAAGCTGCTCATCCTTCCACACCCACTCACCAGGAGCAGATCTATCTCAGCCTGTTATGGTGGTATAATTATGTCTGCCCTGGCCCCTAGCCTGGAAGCTTCTTGAGAAGCAGTATCACTCTGGAGCACTAACACCTGGCTCCAATCTCAGGGCTGCTACTTCTCATGTGTGAGCGCAGCATGCACCAAACCTCCCGTCTCAGTGTGGTCATCTGTAAGACAGGATAAGGCCACACTTCCAGGCTGTGAGGATTAAAGCAGCTGCTGCAGCTTACACGGCAAGTGCTCAGTGGCTGGCACGTCGTAGTTGCTGTGTCTTTCATCTGTGTCCTCGGCACCTGGCCCATTGCAGTAGTAGATTCTCATGAAATGTTAAATAAACAAATGGAATGCAATCTAGTCTGACTTTCATAATAGCCCCAAGAGGTTAGCAGGGACCATCTCTGTCTTATAGGTAAGAATGCAGGTTCCAGGGCGGTCGAATGACTCCCCACCCCCAAACCCCAACCCCACAACCACTTCACCTCAGGTCTGTGCGCCCCAGGGCCCCTCCCCTCACCTGCCACATCTCCCTGGAGCCGCCGGGCCTGGGCTCGGTTGTTGTAGGCTGACGCCCTCTCGGGCAGCAGGTTGATGGCTTGGCCAAACCTCTCCAGCGCTGTGCTGAGGTCGCCGGCCTCTGCTGCTGTCACCCCCTGCAGTTCCAGGGCCTTGGACTGCTCCAGCTGTGCTTGCGGGAAGACTCCACCTGTGCCAGGGAGGGAGCGGGAGGGGTAGGTGTGCGGTGGGGAGCAAGGACTGGCTTCGGACACGTGAGCCAGAACTGACTGGGCTGAGGGGAGGGTCACAGCTGGAGAAGGTGCGGTATTTGGCATGGGGAGTGGGAGGGAGCCGAGGTCCCCCAAGGCTGAGAGAGAGCTAGCACTGCCTAAGCCCCAGAGGAACCTGGGAAGGAAGAGAATGAAGCTCATGCTCCTGAGCCTGCAGCTAAAAAGACTTGCTCAAAGGCCTGAGTTGCACAGCTTGCATTTGAACCTGGGTTCTTTCCTGAGCTCGCCCCCTGTGCTCGACTGCACTGCCTCCAACACAGGCCTGTGACACCCCCAGGTCACAAAATCCTCAGCTTTTCAGCCTTCAGTCTCAGTAAGGCTTAGGTGTCACCCCTTTAGAAACAAGGACATAAAAACCTCAATGGGCCATAGATGGTTTGGCTCAGTGGACAGAGTGTCAGCCTGCGGATTCAAGGGTCCCAAGTTTGATTCTGGTCAAGGGCATGTACCTTGGTTGCGGGCACATCCCCTGCCCTCTCCGGTCTTTGTGGTGATATTGTTATGACGGTTATGAGTTTAATAGCACCCTCCTCCCCACAGCCAGTGAAGCCTGGGTCATGGGGAGGATTGAGTGGTGAGGTCCATTCAGAGGAGTGAGGGCTAAGGACTGAGACAGGCCCGGCCCTTTCCCCTTGGCAGTGACTGGTCAAACGCCCATCAGTGTGGAAGGGATCCGCAGATCTTTTTTTAAAAATATATTTTATTGATTTTTTACAGAGAGGAAGGGAGAGCTAGAGAGCTAGAAACGTCGATGAGAGAGAAACATCGATCAGCTGACTTTTGCATTCCCGATACCGGGGATGTGCCCGCAACCAATGTACATGCCCTTGACCGGAATCGAACCTGGGACCTTTCAGTCCGCAGACCGACGCTCTACCACTGAGCCAAATCTTAAGGCCAGTCTCAGCCATTGCCCCAGGGTCTGGAACAAACACGGGTTTTACAAGACCACCTACTGTGGCCTCCCCAGGAAGGCCTGCAGACCAGCCAATGTAGAGAGCTATCCTCCAAGGTCAAATACTCACCTTCATCTTCTTCCTCAGCTTCCTCTCCCAGGTCCAACCCAACGACGTCTCCAAATGGGGTGTCGGGGTTGAAGATGGCCTGCAAAACCGCCTGATCGTTTAGAGTCCCCATGGCGCTCAACTCCAAACTCCAAAAAGGAGACTCAGGATGAGCGGAGGGAGGGAGAAGCGGAGGTGGGGTCTGAGCTTTGCAGCCATTGGCTCTGAGGGAGGTGGAGGACCAGCTCCATGAGGAGGGCCTCCCACTCCTTTGGTTACAGTGTAAACTGGATGCCCTTTGGCCCCGGGCTGTGACCCTGGCTTGGCAGAACATTTACAGCTATTTCTCAACTACCTCCCATGGGCACCCCTGTCCCAGGAGAAACAGTAAATAAATACAGGTCAGGCTTGAGGTGGAGTGGAGCAAAGAGCCGTGCTCACATCCAGGTGCTCCTTTGCATGCTTTTATTATATTCAGATCAGGAAGAACCAGCAGAAGCCAGGGCTGGCCTACCCATGGGGGGTAAGGGAGGGAGTATGCAGGCAGTAAAGGAACTATTTCTTTGCCTTCTTGAACCTTTCTTTAAATGCAGGATTAGGTGCTGAGCACACATCACTGATTAGAAAGGAAACTGTGGAGAGAGCGTGTGTAAGGCAAGGGACCACGGAAGGCATCCTGCGCCCCTCCCCCAGCCCTCCGCCCAGCCAAAGCCAAAAGAAAGCTCCACCACGTGCAGCAATAAACTTGACATGTTTATTAATTAAACTATCACTTAAATAAAAAAAAGTGCATAGAAAATAAACATGTTTAAAAACTCCTTTTTTTTTTTTACAACTATGTACACTTTTTACTTTTACATTCAGTCTTTCGTAGAGAGCTTTCAGCATTATTATTTTTTGAACTATTAAAGTTATTTTCCTTCATCCCTGTCACAGGGAGTTAACACTGATGGACTTTAGACACATTTTTTCCCTTTTTTTTTTCCCTCTTTTTTTTCTAACCAGAAGCTTGGAAGAACACAAGGAAAGAAAAAACACAAACAAACCAACTGAAAGATCTGTTATACATGATAAAGGTATAAAGAAGTGTCATTTTTAGAAAAGAAGCTTGTCATCTGTTGAGCTTCTGAAACAATTATTCAACTACCTGTATTTACTAAAGAGACTGTTAAAAGTTCAGTGAAAGAAACACCACGAGTCTATTTTCTTGGTTTGAAGACAGAACGAGAGTACCTGGAGCAAGATACCAGGAAAGCACAGAACACAATATCCCCTAAATGCGGTGGTGACCCCAACATTCATAACCGAAGATAGAGCAACGAGGAGTCCAGACACTGCCCGCACACCCCCTGGCGGGACAGTAACCGGGAGGCAGCCGCGTCTCTTCCCGCCGGGACCGTGCGCCTCCCGTCCGGCTCTCCGCTCCCAAGCCAGAGGCCGGCGGCCTTCCCCCGCCACTAGGACTGCAGCGCGCCCTACCTATAGTGTTAAGAAGGAAAGCCAAGGACTGCACGAGGCTTTGTACACGGTGCATTACTATATGAGTTCCTATATATATCATATTTATACTTGTTTGAAAACCAAAACACAAAAGTTGCAAGTTTTCAGAGTGTGAGTCTTGATTGGTGTTTGTGATTCGGCATAAAACCACCTGCTCAATCACCTTGTATTGCTTTAAATGAAGGAGACGAAACAAAACCACACCCAGCCCTTTGCAACAACCCGCTTTTCCTTAAAAAAAAAAAAAAAAAAAAAAAGGAAAAAATTTAACTTAAAGTATCCCAAATCAAACATAAAAGTTATCTGACAAGGTTTGGACCTTTAGTAGTTTCGGATATTTGATTGAACGTCAGTCCTTTAGAAAGATACATTCATGAGAGATTTGTGTTGTGTGAAATCCAGGGAGCCGCGTGGCCCCCCGCGTGGCCAGGTCTGCAGGGCCGGCAGGTGGGGCCTGGGTGGCGCAGAGCCTGGGCGGGCACACAGGCCAGGGCTTCCCCGAACTCGCCCTGGGTCGGAGACCAGGAGGGCTGTGCTGAAGGCGGAGACAGGAAAGGAGGGACCGGGTTCTGGCCAAAGGCAGCGCTGTCCCGGTGACAGAGGCGGCAGCCACAGCAGCAGAGCCGGGCGGTGCCAGTGCTCACAGAACCAACCAGGCCGCAGCCTGCACTCCCCGGGGACTTGGGGTGCCCCTAGGAGACTCTTGGGAGCGGCCACCGCGGCACCTGCCTGCCCTTCTGTGAGCAGGTTCCTCCGCTCACTTTCAAAACAAATGTGGGCGCTTTGGAGGCAGCTGTCCCCCCTTCCGCCTGCAGCTCCCCCCCAGTCCCCGGCAGGGTGGCGGAAGTTTGGCAATGAACTCAAGGCTGAGCTGTGGGAGGGACCTGTTTCCGTGGTTATAACCAGGGAGGGCAAGGCCGGACAGACCGCCCGCAGCCACAGGAGCCGGGTTGGGGGCAGAGAACAGGGGCTCACAGTACGCGGCCTAGCAGACCAGACTGGGTCTGCTCAGCTGAGTGACCCACCCAGACTGGCCTTTGGTGAAGTCATTACCCATCAGTGCATTAATCATTCCAGTAACAAATGCAGCTTAAGGTTTTTTCCTAAATAAAAAACAACATTAAAGGATTTACAAAACCTCACACAGTGCAATAACAAAGGAAACCAGACAGCAGCGAGCCCTGGGCCACCATGTCTTGTTCCCGGGCAAGAGGAAGGGCGGGAGGTCTGGGTGGAGTGCCTTCTCTGCGCCCGGAGCGGTCTGCACCCTGGCCAGAGCTGGGACAGCATGTTCCCGCAGAGCCACCACACGGAGCGCCTAAGGTCACGGGAGCCCAGGTGCCCGGGCGAAGGCACGGCGAGCCGGAGCCGGGCGCCGGGGAGGGACCGCGGTGGAGGCAGAGCAGACCTGCGTGGGGAGTGGTCTCTGCAGGAGTGAGGGCTCGTGGCATGGGAGGAGCAAGGTGACCTACGAGGCAGGTGGTGACGGCGATGGCAGTGCCATCCACTCGGCCAGTCGCCAACAGTGAAGCGGGCACGGCTCGGAGCCGGGGCCAGGCAGGGGCCAGCGGGGAAAGAAGCGGGCGGGTGACCTTCCTTTCTTTTTATTGTCGAAGAGCAAACCAGGAAACGTTTATGTCAACGGCACAAACAAACTAACACGGACAACACAACTTCCAGGGAGCGGAGCGGGGGCAGGAAAAGCCAGACTTTGCATGTACAGCTGAATAGTTCTTTAACTTCATTCTATGAAAATAAAAACTTATTTAAAACCGATCTTTTAAATTAGGATAATACCGCGGTTTAAAAAATAGCCTTGTCATAAGTGCTTCTCCCTATGAAGTGCTTCTCATAGAAAAATATACAAAATATATTTACATTTATAAAACCTTAAATAGTAAACTGTAAACAGAACAGAGTAAAATCTGATGACTTAATTTAATAGGTCGGGACACTGTCGGGGAGGGAGGAAGCAGTGGGCCGGCGCCACGTCCTAGGCGCGGGGCAGTAGTGTCATGAACTCACTTGGCCGTGGAGTTTGCATAGGTGGCCTTCCCTCCATGCAAGGTGCTCAGTCCCCAAGGCTTGGGCCTGGAAATCTGATTAGTGTTGTGCCTTCCACTGGACATGGACCTTTAAAGATCGTCTTCCTATGTTAAAGGAAAACGGTCACCACGGCCAAGGGATGGGCCCAGAGGCCCCTGGCCCGACGCTCTGGTTGCTGCACGACTCAACTATTGGAACTGCCTTCCCCTCGTCTCAAAACCGGGCATTTCTCCAAACTCTCAGCGGAGCTTTGAGAAAATGCTTCATTCTGTCTGGTCTGGCCAAAGCCTCCTGTCCACCTCCCACTGGGAGTGCCTCCAGGCTCGGGACGTTCGGAGATGCACAGTATGCCCACAGGAGTGTCCTTGAGCAGAGTCAGTCTCCTCACCCAGAGAGAATGGAAAGCAGCGGAGGCCGAGCAAGGGAAACGCGGGCAGTGAGTGGAGAGGATGAGGAGGAAGCTGCTCCGACTGCCAGGGAAGGTCCTGGCTGAGATAAGGCTCACGGGGACGCACTCCTCCTACAGCCGCAGGCTCGGCGCCTGGCAATTAATTGGCACAACCCAACACAGCCTTCGATACCGAAGGTGCCGAGCATCCTCCTCCCACCCAGACCGAGTCTCTGTGGGAAGGCCAGGAAACACCGCCTCCTGCTCGCTCCCGACGGCTCCAGGTGGGCCCGGCGGCGAGTGGTCAGGGACCAAACCCCCACCCTGGGCCTGGCCGCCTGGCTGCAGCGAGGGAAACGGCAGAGGGGGCGGCCGCCTCTGAGAAGAGGCTCAGCCCAACCTCCCTACGCAGCCGCCCCGGAGCTCCTGCCAGCACGTCCACTGGCCCGTCCACAGCCATAACCAGGCCCGCGGAGGGCTGCGGCCACAGGACAACGCGGCCACGGAGCGCAGGCCCAGCCCGCGGGGAGCAGCTTCAGTTGAGGAACTTGCGGCATTTCTTGGCGCCACAGTTGCAGGGCAGCTTGTTGCTGGCGTCCTCGATGGGGAACTTGTAGTCGTAGGTGAGCTCCTCCCCGCGGTAGATCTTGCGCATCGCGAAGATGACGATGTGCTTCTGCCCGTCGATGTTGATGACGCGCGAGTAGCAGTTGGGCTCGCACGAGTGGTTGATGAAGCGCGCCGCGTTGCCGTGCATGGTGGCGTCCACCACCTCCGAGTCGTCGATGCGGAACATGTAGCAGCCGATGCCCTGCGCGGGGGAGGCGGAGCCTGCGCTTAGCACGGCTCAGAGCTGAGCTTTCCCAGCCTTTTCCTTCCTTTTTTTAACTGAGAAATACGTGTTTAAAATTTTTTAACCTTCACTGAGGATGTTTTCCCATTGCTTTTTAGGGAGAATGGGCGGGAAGGGAGGACCAAAGAGAGCAACACTGATGTGAGAGAAATACATCAACTGGCTGCAACCAACAGGACCTGATCTGAGACCTTCCACCTGGGGGCCACACCGAAGGCCCAGCTTCTCCTTATGTGACTTATAGCTGCTGCTGAACAGCATCTCTCCCGGAGTAATCTCCAGCCCGCAATCTTTCCGGGCAGGGGATGATGCCGCCCACCGAGCGCAGGGCCTGGGAACGCCACTTACTTTTTGGTCTAGAGATGTTTATAGTGGGAGGTCACTTTCTCTAACAAAACCAGAGAAGAGGAGAGAGGAAGTGTGAGACGCACCTTGCTGTCATAGTACTTCTCTCTCTTGTCAGTCTGGATGGAGCGGATGACATTGCCAGCGTACTCGATCACCATCTCACCCGCATCAATGTTTCTCTTACAAAAGAGACCCCGGCCGTGGATGGGAGACCTGCGACAGGACAAGGGACAAGCGGTCGCCACACAGCCCGCGACAAGGCTAGCTGTAACACGTCTACACAAACTAATGACAGATCCTTAGTCCCCAAGGGGGACAGACCCTGGGGGAAGGGAACATGGCCCCCGGTCTGAGGACGGACCTTTCTGACACGGCCAAGGGCGGGAGTGCTCCCACTGCGCACACAGCCACTGACGCAGCAGCAGGGGAGGCTGTGCTGGTTGATGCGCTGTTCAGTGTAAGAGCCGCAGGCCCCAGGCCCCAGGCTCAGTGATGTCACCTAAACCCAGCTTTCTGCGGGGCACGCACTCGAGCAGCGGGTCCACTCGGCTTTGGGACCATGGCCCGCTTCCTGGCACTCTCTCGAGAAGGGCAGCCATACCTGTAGACGCCAACAGCCTCCTTAGACGTCCTCTTCAAGTGCCGGAAGCGCATGGGCATGGGCAGGTCCATGCTGGTCGCCCTCCTGCGGAGACAAGGGCAGTCTCAGACCAAAGATCCCGGAGGAGAAGACTCAGAGTTCTCCCTCTCAGTGCCAAGCAAACAAATGCCTTATAAAATCAGGACTCTTTTAAATACTTTCTTTTGTTAAATCCTCCCTGAGGATATTTTCCCATTGATTTTAGAGAGAGTGGAATACAGAGAGAAAAAAAGAGAGAAATATCGTTGTGTGAGAAACACATCGTTGGTTGCCTCCTGCACGCCCCCCCCCCCTCCAGCCAGTGCCCAAGCTGGGAGGAGCCTGCACCCGAGGTACGTGCCCTTGACTGGAATTGAACCTGGGACCCTTTAGTCTCCAGGCAGGTACTCCAGCCACTGAGCCCAACGGGCTAGGGCTAAAGCCTATAGAGTCTTCTCACCAGGTGACTCCAGATGCAGCCAGAGTGCATGACAGCCGAAGAAGAGAGAACGGACACCTTCGAGTTACCCGGTTTCTGCTCTCACACGCTCTGCGCCGGCTCCTGCGCCTCCCGCATGGCTGCTCAGCTGCCGGGGAGTCGGGAGGCGGAGCCAGCGGCGGAGGCGGAGGGCAGCGCGCCCTCGGACTCACCGGGCCGACTTGAGCTGCACCTCCTCCTCCTCCTCGTCGTGGGGGTTGTACTCAGGCGGCTGCCGGTGCTTGGAAGCCAGGAAGTTAAACATGTCAAACGCCGACTTCCTGAAGCCAAGGGAGGAGACACTTAGAGAAACGACTCAACCAGAGCAATGCCTCTGTTATCATAGCGCGAACACGGAACATCTGGTTACGTGGAAATAGTTACATCGTCAGGTAATAGATTCGGACCCAAACTGCTTCCGGAAAAGAAGGGACTTGCCTCAGGTGCACCTCGGCCCGGGCTGAGCCGTGCGGGTTCAGGGGCGGTTCGTTGGCCTCCTCCGGCTTGTGGAAGCGGAACTTGTAATTCCTGCAGTGCTTGGCGCCCGACAGCTGCTCGGTCAGGAACACGACCGCGTCGTGGAGGATGCCCAGCATCCGCAAGCCGCTCACACCTGCGGGCGAGGTGGGTGAGGAGCGGAGCCGGTGCGGCCACAGCCCGGCCAGGGAGCAGCGTGAGGCTGCTCACGGGCGAACTGGAGACCAGCCAGGAATTCCCACCGGACAGCCATTCGAAGGACGCGGGCACACCCTGGCCAGGGTGGCTCAGTTGGCTGAGATCGTCCCATGCACCGAGATGTCATGGCTCGATTCCCAGTCAGGGTGCCTGCCCAGCTTGTGGGCTCGATCCCAAGTAGGGGGTGTGCAGGAGGCAGCTGATCGATAAGTTTCTCTCTCTCCCTCTCCTGCCCCCTCCCTAAAATTAATTAAAACATATTTTTAAATAAAGTTATGCGAATAGAGATCTATCAACGTGGACAACATAAGTGAAAAGAGCAAATGAAAACTACGGACTATTACGTCCACTCTGCGTGCACTGACATCTATAGCCCAGCTTCCCTTTCTGGTCCCAGTGGCCACAGGGCGGCGTCCCTGGCTTCAGCTCCAGGGAAGTAAGCCAAGGCCCGAGAACGCCCATACCGCCCCAGGCCACGCAGATGGTGTTACTCCGCTGACTCCCTTCCTTCCTTTTTTAAAATATGTTTTTATTGATCTCAGAGAGGAAGGGAGCGTTAGAGAGAAACATCAATGGCAAATCAGCTTCCTATTTAAATCAGTCAAGAGTTGGGGCTTCTGTCACCTGAGGCCAAAGCATTCTCAGGGATAACGGATGACACAGGTGTAGAGAAGAGGGTCACAGAAGGTGAAGTTCGGAAGGGCTATGCTGGGTCTTGACGGAAGGCCATTCGCGGCCGAGGGCGCGCTAATGCAGAAGATTCTGTAAGCCGCGAGAATGCCGTGGGTACATGCTGACAATTCAGCTTTCGCGTCCCTAATCCCAGAGGTTGTGGTTCATGAGCTGGGGGTGGGAGCGGCCGGGGAGAGGTGAATGGGGGAAAAGGAGACTCGTGTAATACTTTAAACAATAAAGAATTTCAATTAAAAAAATACTGCAATCAGCCGAGACCGGTTTGGCTCAATGGATAGAGCGTCGGCTTGGGGACTGAAGGGTCCCGGGTTCGATTCCGGTCAAGGGCATGTACCTTGGTTGTGGGCATATCCCCAGTAGGGGGTGTGCAAGAGGCAGCTGATCGATGACTCTCTCTCATCGATGTTTCTAACTCTCTATCTCTCTCCCTTCCTCTCTGTGGAAAATCAATAAAATATATTAAAAAAAAAATACTGCAATCAAAAGACATAGAGTTGCCCTAGCCAGTTTGGCTCAGTGAATAGAGTGTCGGCCTGTGGACTGAAGGGTCCCAGGTTCAATTCCAGGCAAGAGCACATGCCTGGGTTGTGGGTTCGATCCCCAGTGGGGGGGGGTGCAGGAGACAGTGATCAATGATTCCCTCTCATCATTGGTATTTATATCTTATCTCCCTTCTTCTCTGAAATCAATAAAAATATGTATTAAAAAAAAGATTTGGGTAGCTGAATGGATAAAAAATCATGACCCAATTATATGCTGTCTACAAGAGATCCACCTCAGAACAAAAGACTCACACAGGATGAGAGTGAAAGGATGGAAAAAACGTTCCATGCAAACAGGAAAAAAAAAAAAAAAAAAAAAAGCTGGATACCAATACTCATACCTGATGAAACAGACTTCAAAATGAAGGCCATCATGAGAGACAATAAAGGTCATTACATAATACTAAAGAGATCAATCCAACAAGAAGTTATAACTCTGGGAAACATATATGCATGCAATGTAGGAGCGCCTAATTATATACAGATGGATTTAAGTGACCTTTATAGAACATTTCACCCCAAAGCTGCAGTGCACAGGGTCATTCACAAAGACAGACCACATGTTAGGACACAAACAAGTCTCTACAAGTTCAAAAAGAACGAAATCATATCAAGCATCTTCTCAGATCACAGTGGAATGAAATTAGAAATCAACTACAGTAAAAACACCCCAAAACATTCAAACACAGGAGGCTAAATAGCATGTTATTAAACAACCAGAGGCCTGGTGAACGAAATCCATGCATGGAGGAGAGAGGTGTCCCTCAACCCAGCCTGCACCCTCTCCAATCTGGGACCCCTCTCACAATCCAGGACTGCTGGCTCCTAACTGCTCGCCTGCCTGCCTTCCTGATTGCCCCGAATGGCTTCTGCCTGCCAGCCTGCTCATCCCCTAACCACTTCCCTGCCAGACTGATTGATGCTTAACTGCTCCCCTGCCAACCTGATTGCCTCAACTGCCCTCCCCTGCAGGCCTGGTCCCTCCCAACTGCCCTCCCCTGCTGGCTGTCTTGTGGCGGCCATTTTGTGTCCACATGGGGACACCTATATCGTGTGTTGGAGTGATGGCCAATTTGCATATTACTCTTCTATTAGACAGAATAAAGGCCTGTTGCATGAATGGGGTCAGCAGGTTTGCAGGCCAGCCACGCCCCCTGGTAACACAGGCGGAGGCCCCTGGTAACTGGGATTTATTTATCTTCTATAATTGAAACTTTGTAGCTTTGAGAGGAGGCCAGAGTAGGCCAGGGTGGGCAGAAAGCTTGGCTTCCTCCATCACCGGGGCAACCCAAGCCTCCTGCTCTCTCCAGCTCCCTGGCCGCTGCCATCTTGGTTGGGTTAATTTGCATACTTGTTCCTGATTGACTGGTGGGCGTAGTGGAGGCACTGTCAATTTGCATATTACTTTTATTAGATAGGAGGATGAATGGGTTTCCAATGAGATCAAGAGGGAAATAAAAAAACTTCATTGAAAGAAATGAAAATGAACACACAACAACCCAAAATCTCTGAGACAGCAAAAGCAGTCCTGAAAGCAAAGTTCATAGCACTAGAGGCCCTCTTCCAAAAATAAGAAAAATTAATAACAAGCTATTTAATTCTACAATTTAAAGAACTAGAAAGAGAACAGAAAATCCTAAAGTAAGTAGGAGTAAGGAAATAATAAAAATCAGAGCAGAAATAAATTATCAAGATTAAAAAAAATACAAATAAATCAAAACCAAGAGCTGGTTCTTTGAAAGGATAAACAAGATTGAGGAGCCATTAGCTAGACTCATCAAAGAACAAAGAGAGAGGACCCAAATTAATAAAATCAGAAACAAAAGCAGAGAAGTAACAAATGACAACACAGGGCCAAACCGGTTTGGCTCAGTGGATAGAGCGTCCGTCTGCGAACTGAAGGGTCCCAGGTTTGATTCCGGTCAAGGGCATGTACCTTGGTTGCGGGCACGTCCCCAGTAGGGGGTGTGCAAGATCAATGATTCTCTCTCATCGATGTTTCTAACTGTCTATCCCTCTCTTTTCCTCTTTGTAAAAAAATCAATAAAATATATTAAAAAAAATTATGGGGGGTCCCAGAAGAAAAGAGAGAGCAAGATACCGAAAATATATTGGAAGAAATAGTAACAGAAAACTTCCCCCACCTGGGGAAAGAAATAAGACTTACAAGTCCAGGAAGCGCACAGAAGCCCAAACAAGAAGAATCCAAAAAGGACCACACCAAGACATATCATAATTAAAATTCCAAGAGCAAAAGACAAAGAGAGAATATTAAAAGCAGCAAGAGCAAAGATGGTAGTTACCTATAAAGGAGCACCTGTACGATTGTCAGCTGATTTCTCAACAGAAACCATGCAGGCCAGACGGGAATGGCAAGAAATATTCAAGGTGATGAATAGCAAGAACCTATAGCCAAAATTACTCTACCCAGCAAAGCTATCATTCAGAATCGAAGGCTGGTTAAAGAGCTTCACAATAAAAAAAAGCTAAAGGAGTTTATCACTGCCAAATCAGAATTATATGAACTGCTTAAAGGAGGTTCTTTAGGAAGAGGCAGAAAATAGATAAAAATTATGAACAACAAATATGTAACTATCAACAAGTGAATCTAAAAGCCAAGGGAATTAAAAAATCTGAACAATATTAACTGGTGAATATAATAGAATCAGAGGTATGGAAGGGGAGTGGGCTGAAAAGGGGAGTGGGGGTGCGGGAAGAGACTGAACATAAACTGTGCCCCTATGGATGAGGACAATGGGGGGTGGGGAAAGGGCAGAGGGTGGGGTGGGAACCTGGCGGAGGGGAGAAATGGAAGGAAAAAATGAGAAACATTTGTAATAATATGAACAATAAAGATTTATTAAAAAAAAACACACAACTCAGCAAAGTGGGAATATAGTGATAATATCTCAACACAATAAAGGCCATATATGAAAACATGCAGCCAACATCATACTCGATGGGAAAAAATGAAAACAATTTCCACTAAAACTTGAAACAAGACAGGGATGTCCACTTTCACCACTCTTTTTTTTTTTTTAAATACATATTTTATTGATTTTTTACAGAGATGAAGGGAGAGAGACACAGAGTAGAGAGTTAGAAACATCGATGAGAGAGTCATCAATCAGATGCCTCTTGCACGCCCCCTACTGGGGATGTGTCTGCAACCAAGGTACATGCCCTTGACCGGAATCGAACCTGGGACCTTTCAGTCCACAGGCCAAGGCTCTATCCACTGAGCCAAACCGGTTTCGGCTACTTTCACCACTCTTATTCAACATAGTACTGGAAGTCCTAGCCACAGCGATCAGACAAGAAGAAATAAAGGCATCCAAATTGGAAAGGAGAAAGTAAAACTCTCACTATTTGCATATGTACATAGAAAAGACTCCACTAAAAAACTATTAGATTTAATAAGTGAGCTTGGCAATGTAGCAGGATATAAAATCAACATCCAGCAATCTATATATTTTTTTGTACATTAATATTAATTTTCAGAAAGAGAAACTAAACAAACAATCCCATTTACCACTGCAACAAAAAAATTTAAGATACTTAGGAATAAATTAACCAAGGCAGTGAAATACTTGTACCCTAAAAACTATAATTAATACTCGATAAAGGAGGCAAGAATATACAATGGAGTCAAGGGAGTTTCTTCAATGAATGGTGTGGGGAAAATTGGACAGATACATGCAAAAAATTGGAAATAGAGACCACCAACTTACACAATACACAAGAATAAACTCAAAATAGATAAAAAAAAGACTTAAATGTAAGTCATGAAACCATAAATATCCTAGAAAAAAACAAAGGCAGCAAAATCTCAAACATCTCTCGTAGCAATATATTTACCGATACATCTCTTAGGACAATGGAAATTGAGAAAATAAACAAATGGGACTATATAAAAATAATCCGCACAGCAAAAGGAACAATCGCCAAAACAAAAAGGGAGCCCGCTGTATGGGAGAACATATTTGGCGATGATACATCTGATAAAGGGCTAATACCCAAAACATATAAGTAACTCATAAACTTAAAGTCAAATTTTGAAAATGGGGCAAAGGACCTAAACAGACACTTCTCCAAAGTGGACATACAGATGCCATGAAACATATGAAAAAATGTTCAAAGTCACTGATCATCAGAAAGATGCAAATTAAAACAACAATGAGATATTACCTCACACCTGTCAGAATTGCTATCATCAGCAAATCAACAAATGACAAGTGCCGATGAGGATGAGGAGAAAAGGGAACCCTTGTGCATTGCTGGTGGGAATGCAAACTGGTGCAGCCACTGTGGAAAAACAGTATGGAATTTCCTCAAAAATTAAATATGGAACTGCCATGTGACCCAGTGATCGCAATTCTAGGAATATATCCTGGAAACCTAAAACACCAATCAGAAAGAAAGTATGCACCCCTATGTGTATAGCAGTGCAATTTACGATATCTAAATGCCCATAGTAGACGAGTGGGTAAAAAGCTGTGGTACATTTGCACCACGGAATACTGTGCAGCTATAAAAAAGAAGAATCTCTTACCCTTTAAGACAGCATGGAGGAACCTGCAGAGTATCATGCTAAGTGAAATAAGCCAGTCAGAGAAAGACAAGTATCATTGATCTCACTCATATGTGGAATCTAATGAACAAAATATATCCAGAGACAGTGAACGGAATGTGGAATCTCGGAGGGAAGCTGGGGAAGAGTGGGTGGGTAATCAACCAAAGAAGTTGCGTGCATGCCTGTATAACCCATGGACACGGACAATATGGTGGTGAAGGCCTGGGGCAGAGATGGGCTAGAAGGGTTCAACGGGGAAAAGGGAGACATATGTAATACTTTCAATAATAAAGATTAAAAAAAGAGAAGATGCTACAAGAAGTTCTATAATAGTATTCAATATTCCCCTAAATTCTGTTTTAAATCCCTTCAGTCAGGATAATGCTCTTAATTGGGCACATTAGGTATATTAGGGTACATAAATACATAGCTACATGTAAATGAATAACTGCCAATAATGTCAAGTTCATTATTTTAATTAATCCTCACAACAAAGAAAAAAAGTTGCATTAATGTTATCACGTTATAGATATGGAGATCCAGGCTCAGGGAAGTTAGCTGCAAGCAATGGAATATCAATAGCAACAGGGCAGAAAGAGGTCGAACTCTGTTCTAACTGCCTCCAGAGCACCGGGTTCTCACCATGCATACTGAGCACAGACACGGATGAAACAGACATCTGTGCCCCTGGGGAAAGAGAGGGCCGGCCATTCCGTCTGAGGAGGAGCACAGAGCCAGCCCTCCTGGAGAACTTTGCCCGTTACCAGAAACTAGTTCAGAACAACTAAGCACACATTTAGTTAGTTATTCCAGTGACAACCAGTTGGTCAGACCGGACCCATGAACCCTGTTTTCTTGCCCCCAAAATATCTCCCTCACCAATTTGCAAAAAACCGAGAGGACACTATCCATAGAGTAAAAAGTCAGCCCAAAGAATGAGAGCAACTGTTTGCAAACATGTATCTAATAAGGAATTAATATTAATTAAATAACCCAAGTGTCCATAGACAATCAATGGATCAATGGATAAGCAAAATGTAAAATACAGATACAGTAAAATATTATTCAGCCTTAAAAAGAAAGTAAATCCTGATATATACTACAACATGGATAAACTTTGAGGACATTATGGTCAATGAAATAAGCAAGTCACAAACTGTATCCTCTATAATAAAAGGGTAATATGCAAATAGACCAAATGGCAGATCAACCAATCAAACTGTAATATGCTAATGATATGCTAAGGCTGCTCAACCACTCGCTATGATGTGCAAGATATCTAAATGCCCATCAGTAGACGAGTGAGTAAAAAGCTTTGGTACATTTGCACCACGGAACACTGTGCAGGGGGCAGGTGCTCCAAACGATAGGTTAGCTTGCTACTGGGGTCCGGCCAGTTGAGACTGAGCTAGACGGGCTGGACACACCCTGGAGCCCTTCCGTGGTCTGTCCCCTGCCTGATCTGGCTTTGGTGGGGTCCCTCAGCCTGGCTGAACCCTCTCAAAACCTGGGATCCTTTTGGGGATGTCGGAGAGCTGGTTTCAGCCTGACCTCACAGGTCACTCCCCTTGGGAGGGCACCAGATACAGGACTCCCAATTGGGACTGATTGGGCCGGAGCCCGGGCTGGCACAGTGGGGTTGGGATGAGTGGCAGGTAGGAACTGTAGGTGGCATTGGACTGCGGGTTGGCCCGATCCCTGCAGGCCACCCAGAGGGACCCACCCAGGCACAAATTCATGCACCTCTAGTGATTGTATAAGGAGCTTAAAGTAATCTAGCTCACAAAGACAAACACTATAATGGTTGCCAGGGGCAGGGAGAGGAGAATGAAGAGTTATGGTGGTGACAGCTGTACAACAATGTGAATGTATTTAACTCCACTGAATTTCTACCCTTCAAAATGGTTAAGATGGTAAATTTTATGTGTATTTTGCCAAACTTCATTTGTTAAAAAAAAAGGGGCCGGGAGTACTGCGGCCATGTTACAGCAGAGCATGGTATTAAATAAGAAGCCAGCCCCGGAGGACCACATGTACGATTCCTTTTTTTGCACTGGATGAGCTACAATTAAACCTGTCCATAGTCGTTCTGGGCTGGTTACTGGTAATGTGCAAAACCCCCTCCAGCTGAACGGCCAAGCCCGGTCCCACGTAGGAAATACACAGCTAACCATCGGCATAGAAAGCGGACTCATGGTGGCCAGGGCGAGAGCTTGACTGCTGATGAGCACGAGCTTGCTCTCAGCGATAATGAAAGTGTCCTGGCATGATACAGACATAACGGTTGCTCTTTGTGAACATACTGAAAGCCTCTGAATTGTATGCTTCACACGGGTGAATGGTATAGTCAAAGAATTATATCGCAATAAAGTTGTGAAATTTTATTTTTTTAAAAAGAATGTTGCTGTGTTTTGTTTTTGTTTTTAGAATCAACTTTATAATGCAGACCAACAAGCCACCAGCACATTCTGAGACCGGAGCACAATGAGCACGTAAGCCGTTACCTGCAAACGAGAGCTGCTTTAGCCGGGCATTGGATCGTGCTTCCTGGACTTTATCCGTCAGCGACTTCCAGGCATCTGTGAGGAAATGAAACGTTCCAACAGGCGTCTCGTGGGGAAAGCGCCCTCCCGCCGCAGCAGGCTTTGTCTCGTTAGTCTAAGTCAGTGCGCGCCTGGGAAGCTGAGAGGGACTGTCTTTCTAGAGAAGGACAGAGGCAGGAAGGGCATCCCGACCGCCTGAAAGTGACCCGAGTCCTCAGGCACGGCCATCCCTTGATGGCACCTGGACCCCAAACCTAAGTGTTTGGTGTTAATTCTATTCCCTACACTTTACCCAGGGCAATGACAATGAACATCTAACCAAGGCTGTGGGGACACCGGGCCTTCTCAGTTCCTTACAAGTACGGGTTGTACCTGGAAACCTGCACAGTCCCTCCCAGCTCTCCCCTACGATCCTACCAGCTCTCACTGTCACAGGATAAGGGTAGAGTGGTGGGAAGAAATCCTCCATCTAGTTCTTTTTTTGTTTTTAATCCTCACTCAAGGATATTTTTCCATTGATTTTTAGGGAGAGTGGGAAAGACAGAGAGAAACACTGATGCCAGAGAAACATCAATTATCGATTGATTGCCTCCTGTGAGCGCCATGAACAGGGCCAGGGCCAAGGAGGAACCTGCAACCAAGGTACATGCCCGCAACCAGAATCAAACCCTTTGGTCCACAGGCCAGCAGCGAGGGCTTCCATGGTTTTTTTATAACTCTCGCCAAACCACAGTGACCTTTCTTCCCTTCAAACTCCTCTAGTACCTATCGCCTACAGAACATTCACCAATCCTTCAACAGCTAATGAACAGCTACATGTTAGGGGCACAAAAATCTATAATAATAAATGAGTAACATGCTAATTAGACAGGACAGCCGAACAACCTTTTGGACAAAGCCGCAGCAGTGGTGTCCGAGGCAGGGAGGTTAGGGGAGAGCAGGCAGGTAAGCGAGCGACTAGGGGTGATCAGGTAGGCAGGCGAGTGGTTAGGTGCAATCAGGCAGGCAGGTAGGAGAGCAGTTAGGAGCCAGTGGTCCCAGATTATGAGAGAGATATCTGACTGCTGGTTTAGGCCCGATCCCTGGCATCCCTAAACTGGCAGTCGGACATCCCCCAAGGGGTCCCGGATTTGAGAGGGTGTAGGCCAGGCTGAGGGACCCCTTCCCCTTCACAAATTTCGTGCACAGGGCCTCTAGTGTTAAATAAGAACATAAGCTGCAAGCCCTTATGGGAAGTTCCCTGTTGAGTAAGACATAAAAGTAAACAAACATTTATAGAACAAATTTTAAGCTCAGTGGGAGAAATGTGTAAGAATCTGAAAGGCGTGGAAAAGAGGGGGTAGGCTGTGTACCTGCCTCAGAAGATCAGGGAAGACTTTCTAAGCTGAAGGTCAGCAGGTGAATGGGGTGGGTGGAGGAGGAGGGGGAGGGGAAGCATTCCAGGTGGAGGGAAGACATGCAGGAGGCACAGAGGTGAGGGAGAACAGCATTCAAGATGTACAGGAAGGCCCTGGTCGTTTGGCTCAGTGGATAGAGCGTTGGCTGTGAACTAAAGGGTTCCAGGTTTGACTGTGGTCAGGGCACATGCCTGGGTTGTGGGCTCAGTCCCCAGTAGGGGGCGTGCAGGAGGCAGCCAATCACGATTCTCTTCTCTCATCATTGATGTTTCTCCCTCTCTTCTTCCTCTCTGAAATAAAAGAAAAAAAGAAACAACAAAACAGGAAGTGGTAGGAGAAAAGTGAGAGAGACAAGCAGAGGTCTCATGTGTTATGTAAGGTGTGTATAACCTTAAAAACATAATCTGTACCCCTAACTTCTCTCATAAACTACGGACTATTTCTCAAGAACACTAACTTCTTAAGGACAAATCAAATGTGCAAATCCTGCAAACACCTCCGTCACAGCAGCACAGGCCTGCCACCAAGCAGTACAGACAGGGCTGGTGCCGCTCTGGCTGCCAGGCTGTGCTGTGGGCAGCCCGAGCAATCCACTCGCCTTCAATGCTCTCGGCGCAGATCTGGAAGCCGTCGTCACTGGAGATTTCAAACACCAGGCCTTTCTTGGGCTTTTTCTCAGTGATGCTTTCTTTGCGCTTCTGTTCCTGCTGCAGCCAGAGCATGAGCGGCGAGCTGAAGCCTCCATCTTCCTCCTCCGCCGCCTTCGGGTCTGCCAGGGAGAGCGCAGAGCGTCAGCGGCCACAGCAGGAGGCCGGGGAGCCAATGGCATCCAGAACTGGGATTATCTCCACTGACAGGCAGTGAGACGGAGTCTCAGGGAGATGGGGCAGCTTACTACCCAGGTCTCAGCTACACACGACTACCATGAAACCAGGATGTTTTTAACATAAAGTCACGCTGTCTTTGTGGCAGAGTTCCTAGCACGACAATCTGATAGTTTTTCAATGACTGCCCCCTGTAGGGTTAAAGTAACATGGAACACTACCGGGCACCCCCCTACTCTCTCAGGACGTTCCCTTGATAGTAACTCACACAGACCTCACACCAGTCCGATGAGCAGCCGAGGACACTGAGGTAGAGAGGTCAGGGAAGTGGTCCCGCAGCCCAGGTTCAGGCAGCCAATAGGTGGTCGTGCCAGGCTTGACCTGGCCGGCCCTGCTGTCCTCCCTCCCAGAGACCTTCTCGAGGACCAGAAGGCCTCGCCCCAAAGCTGGCGTCCAAGCAGTGTCCCCCCGGCTCTCCTCTGGGAAGACAGGCCGTTAATGGAAACGGGCAAAGCCTGACCCTGAGCTCCCCAATCGAAACCACATGACCTGCTGTTACTGACCACGTGCACCGGGAGACCGGGGCTCGGGAGACGGATCTGTGTCCCAGCCAAACGTGACTAGCTTACAGGATAAGAGCGCTTCTGGGTTTTCTTCAGGGACAACCAGGGGTGAATGAAGTCTGCTTATCACTAGCATTTATTTATTTTTATTATTTTTTAATCCTCACCCAAGGTTATTTTCGCATTAATTTCAAAGAGAGGGAAAGACTATTGAAAGAAACACACTGATTGGCTACCTCCTGCATGAGCTGCAACCAAGGCCTGGGCTGGGGAGGAGCCTGCAACGGAGGTATGTGCCCTTGACCAGGATCAAACCTGAGACTCTTTGGTCTGCAGGCTGATGCTCTATCCACCTAGCAACACCGGCCAGGGCCATACTGCTGTTAAAGCAAGCCAAGCAGCAGCAGAGTGAGAGGTTTCAGTCTGGTGTCCTTGCCTGCAGCCGGCCGCAGGAGGTGCAGTGGGGAGGGAGCACAGCACTGAAGGAGATGCTGTGAGGCTCCGGCTACAGTTCGCTCCATCACTTAACTTCTGTGCGACTTTTGGGGGGGAATTGTTTTCTTAACCCAGAAGGTAATGTAGGTGATTTTTATAGCAGGTTTGGCTTTGAAACACTGATTCAGACCTGTTGCCCACCCACATACCTGTACTTTCTTGTTCATTTGCTGGATTTTGTGTTGTCTGAACCTCAGGAAGAACAGCCATTTGCCTAAAACACACACAAACACACACAAAAAAAACAAACACCCAAAACACAAACGTGAGATGCATCAGATAGTACTCCAGTTCAAAGCTAAAAGCTGTCAGTTACACAAAGCCACGGCCGGACCAGCCACGGAATGAGCACCACCCACAACCATGCGGCACCAACAGAAAGCCATCGTCTATGAGATTCCCCCCAAATACTGACATTAAGTTTTTATGTTTTGTTAATACTCAACTGAGGATATTTTCCCATTGGTTTTTAGAGTAGAAGAGGGAGAGACAGAGAAAAATATCGATGTGAGAGAGACACATCGAGTGGCTGCCTCCTGTATACACCCCGACTAGGGCCGGGGAACCTGCAACCGAGGTACATGCCCTTGACCAGAATCAAACCTGCAGGCCAATGCTCTATCCCCTGAGCCTAACTGGCTAGGGAGACATTAAGTTTTTACTTTTGGAGTTGTAGTTTGTATCCTTAAATTTTTTCTCACCCTTAGTATTGAGAAAAAGATTAAAGAACACTTGTTAGAAGTAGTTCTGAAATAACAAGAGCTGCTTAAGTTGGCTGCTTTTTAAAAAATCCTCACCCGAGGACAAGGTTATTGATTTTAGAGAGCTATAGGGAGGCAGGAAGGGAGAGAGAAACATCAATTGGTTGCCTCCCCTGTGGGCTCCGATCGGGGATTGAACCCGCAACAGTGAAATATATACTAAAGGGAATAGTTAGGTAAATTATTGTAGATCACACAGGGGAGCTAGAGGCCACCATTAAAATATAAAGTGCATCTATAAATAGGTACTGTACAGAAATGTGTACACAATTAGTAAGTGATAAAACCAGGTAAAGAACAGTACGTATGTATAGCATTATTCGTTCTATGTAAAAAAAAGAAGTATATATATGTCCTTATGTGTACCACATATATCTGACTATGCATATAAAGATCTCCACGCATGGCTCAGTGGCAACCTATGAACCAGGAGGTCAGGGTCTGGTCCCTGTCAGGGCACATGCTCAGGTTGTGGTCTCCATCACCAGTAGGGGGCATGGAGGAGGCAGTCGATCCATGTTTCTCTCATTGATGCTTCAATCTCTATATCACTCTTCCTTTCAAATCAATAAAAATGTATCTTAAAAAATGTCCCCATGGATGAAAACAAATTATTTGCAATGTTAGCTCTAAGGAATAGACTGGGATGGGGTCAGGCAGGATTACAGGGCACCATTATCTGTTATTTAAGTAATGCTCCACTACCTTACTTCCACTGAAATAACTGTGGCACCCTGACCGAATGGCCCAGTTGGTTGGAGCATTGTCCTGTGTACAAAAGGGTTGCTGGTTCGATTCCCAGTCAGGGCACGTGCCTAGGTTGCGGATTCAATGTGTGTGAGAGGCACCTAATCAATGTTTCCCACATGGATGTTCTCTCTCTCTCATATCAATAAACATGTTCTCAGGTGAGGATTAGAACACCGGCCACACAGACAGGAAGAAGGATATTTTACGAGGACTTGGTCTGGGAAACCTTCCTCTGCTCACCCCGGGGGTTGCCCACACTCCGGGGCCGCCGGCTCCCCATCTGCTGTGTCCTGCTGCTCGGCCTCTGCGGCGGGGGCCCTGAAACAGAACCATCGGCACTTAGGCACCAGGTGTGCAGTCTGCAGAGACGAAGCAGGCTCTGGCAAACCTCGTGAGCAGAGCGGCAGCCTGTGGCGATGCAGGGGTTGCTGCCCTGCGGGGAGCTGACCACGGCACCAGGCGCCTCTGGAGCACCAGCGAGGCTTCCTAGCTCCATCTGAAGGGCGGCTCCCGGGCACATATGTACGTAAAACTCACTGTGCACATCAGGTGTGCTACACTGAACAGCAATAACCGCCCTTCGCAGCCCTCAGCTTAGCAGCGAGCAGCGGCACCGAGTTACACCAGCTCCAGGAGAGACCTGGTTCTCTGCGGAGACCACTGCTCACGGAGGGCGTTGAGGTTTGCTCTGTAAGCCACCACGGTGAAAACACAATCAACTGAAACCCGCAGAATACCCGACCACTGCAAAAGTGGACAGATGACCCCTGACCCAGCCTCTGCTCGGGGCCCGGATCCCACGGACTCAGCACGGCCGACACTGGCTCTCACCCTGTGGACGAGGTCAGGGAGGACGTGTGGGCCTCCTGGTCCGGAATGTGTGCTTCTGAGGAGCTGGTCCGCAGGTGGGAGGCCTTGTGCTTCTTGCCATTGCCTTTGTCCGAAGGCAGCTGGAGACGCTTGCTTTTTGGTTTGGGCTGAGCGGGACCGGACACGGAGGGGCTTGAGGACTGGGCTCTGGAGGAGGGGGAGCCCGCAGGGGAGGCGGTGCGGGCCTGTCCGGTGGAGACAGCCGACTTCTTCGGCTCCAGCCCCCGGCTGCCGGGAGCATCCGCTGCCTGCGCGAAGCTGGGCCCCTGGGCGTCTGGAGCAGCGTCGGCGTCCCGCTGGGAAGGGAGGACTCCCGCTTTGCTGGCTAGGAGCTGGCTCACATGCTGACGCTGATAGTGATCTTCTGTGTCCTTGGAGGGGGAGGCGGCCGCTAGGCCCCCCGTCTGCGTTGCGGGGAGGACGCAGACGCCGGATGCAGCCGTCATTGCCGAGGTAGAGGGGGTCTGCAGCGATCCCAGCTGGGGAAACATTCCCGAACTGGGCGGCAGAGCCCCGGGCGTGTCCTGGACCCCCAGGCCCTGCTGGCTGGCTTTAATTAACAGGCTGCTTATGGGGCCCGTGTCCGAGGCACCCAGCAGCCGCGGGCTGGTCAATGTGACGTGTCCTGGAACCGACGCACTACTCGTAGGTGCTGTTGTCGTTTGCATGGATACGACATTCAAGACCGAGGAACCGGATGCCAAGCCGGCCATGGGCCCCGAAGCGAGATGGCCAGTGTCCTGGCTCCCAGTGGATGTGCCCGTCGCCGTGGCAGGTCCGCCCACCGTCTGCGGTAACAGGGGTGCCTGTTCAAAATACATGACGCCGGACTTAGACCTTTTTATGATGTTGGGGACAGTCCGGTGAGATGACGTGTTAAGTGACCCCAAATCTAACAGGTTGGGGTGATTTGGAAGCTGGGAGGGTGTGAAGTTAATCAGTGTCATGTTAGAAACCACATCGGAGGGGGCAATGCTGGAAGGGGTGCTAGAGGGAGCAAGCTTCTTATTCTTTCGGGTCTGCAGGCGAGATATGGGTCTTTTCTTGAGTCCAGAGGACGGAGTGACTACCGTGGTGCTGAGGTCTGTCCTCTGGCTGGCTTCGGACACCAGAAGTTGGGGATCTGGAGAAGGCTGCACCCCAATGAGCAGGCCGGGAGGAGAGCTGCTGATGGTGGGCGGGAAACTGCCCTGAGCAGCTGTGGGGAAGGGGTGTAAGTGCTGGTGGTGAGGCACGGGCAGCAAGCCTTTGCCAGCAGGAGGGAACAGAGGCTGAGGCGTCTGCAGGCCTGGGTTTAGCCCCGCGGTCAGCGCGAGGCCACTGCCCATGGGCCCCAGCACGGAAGTGTTTGCCTCCATCACACCGGGTGCAGAGCTAACGGAAGAGGTCAATTGGATTTTCTGGGTCACGCCGTTCGGCAGCGTCTGGAGCACGTAAAGTGGCTGCATGTTCTGGTTAACAACAATGAGCTTCTCGGTGGGTGGCTTCAGGTGGGGAGGCGTGGTCTGCACGGCCGCATTAGAGATCTGAGACGGGCCGGGGCTCTCGGCAGAGCTGGGCCCGTATTTCTGGTTCTGGACGGGCACGGTAGGGGAAGCCGGTACCTGGAGGCTGGGGGTGCTGCTGCTCCTGGTTAAATCCTGGCTGCTGCCACGGCTCTGCTCCACTGCGCACGGGGGGCTGGCGAGGTCGGCGTCCATGTGTCCCTGGATAAAGCGGTCTGGGGTCATGTGGCCTTCGGGTGCGGGGTCGACTCCCGGGCTCAGCAGCGCTGGGTCATCCTCGGAGGCGGCCACGGGCTTCTCCGGGATGGCGACCCTCTTCTCTGATGCGTCTGCGATGACGGCCAGCCGGCCGGGGTTCGGGCCGGGGACCGTGGGGCTCCGCGTGGTCAGCACTGAGAGGTCAGACGGCAGCTCCAGCGGCAGCTCGAACTGCTCCTCGGCGGAGATGGACGAAGAGACACTGCTGTCCACAGGCTCTGCGGTCGGCAGCTGCTGGGAAAACACTTCAAACAGACCCATGTCCTTCTCGCGGTTGCTGTCGAGGCCCAGGCCCTCACCCAGGTTCAGAAGCTCCGAGGATGAGGACTCGGGGCTCTCCCCCAAGGCCTGCATGGAGGGCGTGTTCTTCAGGACGAAGTCCATGATGTCTGAGGGCAGGATGTTCCCGCAGTCATCACTGTTGTTGTTGTCGGAATCCGACTTTAGCAGCTCAGGGTTGTAGGTGTCCAGCAAGGCCTTGTCCGAGGGAGCGCTTGTGTGGACCCTGCGGCTGGACTCCAAGGAGCTGAGTTGAGCCTCCAGAGAGTCCTGCCCCTGGCCCTTCCCTCGGCTCACAGGGTGGCAGTTCTCCGCCTTGGACTCGCTCTTGTGGCCCCCAGAACTCTTGATGACATGCTCCTTCTCCCCGTCTTCAGGCCGGTCCAGCTTGAGGCTCTCCGTCCCGTTCTCTTTCCCATTTCTTTTTGGAATCTGGCTGGTCTTCCTCGTGGTGGCCGTGACACTGGTGTCGCTCTCTGTCCCGTCGTCAACGCCGTCCAGCTGTGAGATTCTCGGGAGGTCACACTGCTCCTCCTCCCGGAACAGGCCGTGGGCCGCCAGCCGCTCCTCGGCGCCCGCCGCGATCACCGTGCGGGTGAAGTTGTAGTAGTACAGGTCGTCCTCATCGGAGGTGCTCAGGTCGTCAGCCCCATCCACCTGCCCCTCCGCTGACCTCTTGCCCCGTTTCTTCCCCGTGGAGCTGCTGTAGAACGGAAGGTCCTCTTCCCCGTAGGACCGGACCCCGTAGAGGGGGGTGAGCCCGAAGAACATGTTGGAGCGGGCCCGTGCGCTGCGCCGGGGGTACCTCCTCTTGAAGGACCCGTCCTCCTGGGGCTTGGGCCCGTCGGGCAGCAGGAGGTTCCGGTCCTGCACGGGGAGAGGCTGGTAGCTGTTGCCTGGAGGCTCCTGGGAGGCGGTGCTGCCAGGGCCCGGCTGGGCCACGGGCCCGGCTCCCGGGCTTTCGGAGGTGGAGACAGGCTCCGAGGGGGAGGCGGACTCTGTCTGCAACGAGGAAGCAGGACTGTGTTCCTTCAGGGCGTTTCTGGACTGACTCTCACCTTCCATCTTCAGGGGTGTCAGTGTCACTTTGACCGTGCGTTTTCGGGGTGTCTGTAATTCCGTGGCAGGGCCTTCTCCTTGCACGGACGGAGCTTTGGGGACACCAGGAGAAGCAAGGACCCTGTCCCCAATCTTATCAGAAGACACACTGTTACACGGCCGTGGCCCCGGAAACTCCGGAGGCAAAACCTCATCCACAAACTCCGCCGTCAGGCTTCCTTCCTCCGCAGCGGCAACCTGGCCAGGCTCCAAGAAGGACTTACTGGAGCGCTTTTCTCTGGAAGTTTCCTTACTAGACTTCTTCCCCTTCGGCCTCCTGTCTCTGGAGCCCACGTGCTCGCCGAGGAGAGACGACCTGCTTCCCACTCCCGACAGCTTCAAGGCTCTGACTTCCGCAGCACCCTCTGCGGGGGCGCTCCCCGCCGGGGAGGGGTCTGGCTGTGGGTCCCAGTCGTTCCTCTGCCCCCTCAGGTGCAGCGGCGGGAGCGGGAGGGCCTCTCTGGAGGAGAAGGGCACCGCGGAGAATTCCGCAAACGTGCCCATCTTACTGACGCTCGGTTCGCCCGACGGCAGACTGTGACCGTGACGCTGCGGGGCCGGCCTGGGGAGCCCGGGGTGGGCCGTGCTGTGAGCAGCACCCTCGGAGCCCTTGGAGCTCAGCAGCTTGGCCTTTTCTCCTTTCAGAGAGGAGCTGGCAGCCAGGTCTGACGCGCTGGGGTGCTTCGTTTCTGAAGTGGCAGAGCCATCCCCGTGGCTGGCTTTGGTGGCGATCGTCACCACTGTCCTCTGCGAGCCGGGAGCGGTGGGAGCGTTTTGCCGTAAGTTAGTATTTGCCGTCAGCGGCCCCAGGACACGATCGGCTGCTTTGGCACTGGCCTCCAGGTCCGCAGCGGTCCCCGGGGCGGAGGCGGAGGGGCCGCTGTTCTTGGAGTGAGTGCTCCCCGCTCTCACTGGGGACGTCATGCGGAGCCTCGACGCCTGGGGTGCCGAGGACGGCGCGCTGTGCCGCCTGGAGCCGATGCTTCGGAGCCCCGAGGACAGCAGAGGGTCACCCACCGTGACGATTTCGTGAGTGGTGGGCGTAGGACTTCCTAAAGGAGAGAGAGTGACAGACTATCACAGACGGCAGATGTGGGAGTCATCATAGGTAACGAAAATCAACATTTCCAGTCATCTTAAGTCACTAAAATAAAGTGGCCTGAAGAAAATCACAAATTCATGTCTGGGCTGACCTTGGAGTCAACGAAACCCTTTACCTGCAGAAGGCAGTGGCCGACAGCCAGGGGACCTCTGTGTTGGAGAATAACTGGGTGTTCGAATCCTAGGAACCTTTGAGATGACATGATAAAAACAGGACCCAGAGGTCTGCGTATGAGGATGTCGGTCTGGTGATGAAGGACTTACAAGTTCGGCTGCGTCTTGACTTTCTTTAGATGACATTTCTGCGGTAGGATATAAAAACCCTTACTAAAAGCAGTCCAATTAAGGTATCAAACAAATGGCCCAATAAAAAGCCAGCTGTTGGGGAAATTCTCGAACGAGACCTCCTGACGAAGTGACATTCTCCCCATGCTTCCATCTCAGTGTTCCCAAAAGCACAATTCCGGTGACACCTGATTGAAGACCAACCTGCAAAAGACGTGGGGCTGTGGGCGATGGTCCTGTTCTCATCGTGCTCCACGGTGCTGTTGACGTCCGGCTCCGCGGCGGGCGGGCGGCACGCCACGATCTTGCAGGTGTACACGCAGCGCTTGCGGGCGTCCGTGGTGCTCCAGTACACCCGGGAGCACCTGGAAGTTCGCAGACCAGCAGAGGTGAGGGTCCAGAAGCAAAGACCGACATTTGTCAAGCCTCTTCTCATCCTAGATCCCCCATCTCCATTTACAGAATTTCGCTTTATTTCCTGGACACTTACACATTTCCCAAATTAGGATGTTCCATGCTTTTTATTTTATTAAAAATATTTTTATTGATTTCAGAAGAGAGGGAGAGCGAGACAGAAATATCAATGATGAGAGAAAACCATCGATCAGCTGCTTCCTGCACGCCCCCTACTAGGGATCAGGCAACCTGACACATGCCCTTGATCGGAATGGTACCTGGGTCCCTTCAGTCTGCCAGCCAACTAAGCTCTATCCACTGAGCCAAACCAGCTAGGGCAGAATGTCCCAAACATTTTGAAAGACCTTGGTTTTTTTCTAGCTTCTCAGAAACTAATATCAAATCTTTTTTTAAAAAAAAGTGTATTGTAAGCAGGCGGCAAAAATTGTACAATATTTTAAAATGCAGATAAAAAATACTAACTCCTGCAGGAAACAGGTATTAGCCCTCAGGAAGGGACCACTGCCCCACAATATGTACAAAGTGAGGAAAGAGCGAACACGAGATGTTTCCTTTGGGACAAGCGCCCCATGTGGCAGGGAAGTGTGACTGCTTCAGATTTGCTGGGTGCTGAGGGAGCTGTTCACCCAGAGCTGCCAGCTAAGCAAGCAGTGCAAACTGGGAGGTGGACTAAGTTAAAGGCTATGCAGCAAAATGAAACTAAAGGGGAGAGCTAGAAAGGGGATTTTGAATTTATATTGTCACTTGTTAGAAGTTTAAACAACTTGCTGCATATGGGAAAGATTATAAATTCCTACTAGAGAACCACCAGTGCACGAATCCCCCGAGATTCATCAGACTGTTCCATGTTTCCATGCCTATGTGCTGAGTGTCTGCCCTCTGGTGGTCAATGGACATCATATTGCTTAGGCTTTTATGTTAATCAGCTTAACAATAACCCACAACCTTCGGACCAACTGCTTAGGCTTTTATGTATAGACTAGAGGCCCAATGCACAAAAATTGTGCATGGGGGTCCCTCAGCCCAGCCTGTATCCTCTCCAATCTGGGACATCCCTCTCACAATCCAGGACTACTGGCTCCAAACCGCTTGCCTGCCTGCCTACCCGATTGCCCCTAACTGCTTTTGCCTGCTAGCCTGATCACCCCCAAATCACTCCCCTGCCAGCCTGATGGATGTCTAATTGCCCTTTGCTGGCCTGATTGCCCCTAACTGCCCTCCCTTGCCAGCTGGTCACCCCCCACTGTCATCCCCTGCAGGCCTGGTTCCCCCCAAATACTCTCCCCTCCTGGACTGTTCACCCCCAACTGTCCTCCCCTGCCAGCCCAGTCGCCCCTAACTGCTCTCCCCTGGTCCCCCACAACTGCCCTCCTTTGCTGACCTGGTGACCCCAACTGCCCTCCCCTGCTGGTCTGATTGCCACAACTGCCCTTCCCTGCAGGCACCTTATGTCCACATGGGGGCAGCCATCTCTGAACACATGGGGGCAACTATTGTGTTGGAGTGACAGTCAATTTACATATTACTCTTATTAGATAGGATTATTCTGTGTTTTTTTTTAAATATAGTTAGTTGGTGTACAATAGCATCTTATATAGCGATTTAATTTTTTTAATTAAACATTTTTAAACTTTATTTTATTGATTTTAGAGATACAAAGGGAACGATAGAAAAACATTGCTTGGCTGTCCCACTTATTCATGCACTCACTAGCTGCTCCTGTGTGTGCCCTGACTGGGGCCTGAACCTGCACCCTTGGCGTATGGGGACAAAGCTCTAAGCAACTGAGCAACCGGACCAGGGCTGTGATTCAACATTTTATTCCTTACAATGCGAGCACCCCATTAGTTCTAGCGATCACCTGTCACCGTGCAAACTTATCACAATATTATTCAATATTTTTCTTCCATAACTGAATTCAGCTGACATAAAATGACACTTTAGTCCTCATCCACAAGAAGTAGCAAAAAAGAAGTTAATTTTTAGTAGCAGTTAGAAGTAACTCACAAGAGTGGCTCTACACTTAACAATGTGACACTGACTGTGTCAGGGTGCTCAGGCTGTGGGCAGCCGTCTCCCCTGTGCGGCAGTACTTACTGGTATCCAACTGGAAACAGCTTGTCCTCACAGTCAGACAGATCGTTGAGAATTCCCAAGCAATCGATTGTCATGGAGCCTGGCCAAGGAGAGAACAGTGATTGGAAGAGATAACGGTACATCAATGCGTATAACAGCCTAAGTGACTGTCCGACCATCTGACCGGTAAGTATGATGCACACTGACTACCAGGGGGCTGACGCTCAATGCAGGAGCTGCTGAGCTTGGTGACTTGGCAGCTGCGGTGATGCACCCGGAAGCAGAGAGGAGGGAGCCCGGTCCCAGGGTGCATCACCCGAGAGCCGCCTGGCTGCAATCTGGGATCCTTCGGGGGGATGTTGGTGAGCCAGTTTTAGTCAGATCCCTGCAGGCCAGGCCGAGGGACCCCATCGATGCACAAATCCATGCACCGGGCCTCTAGTATAAAATAATTTCATAACCAAAGACTAACAAGTCCCCCCATGCTACATCCAGCCTCCCCTACAACCGAGGCCAATGTCCTACCAATCATCATGTGAATATTTTCTGGTTCCAAGCCATTAAGGAACTTCCTCCTCAAGCTGATTCCTTCAAAGTCCACAAACACTCTTCTGAAGACTTCAAATCCATTCTCAGGAACCACCTAAAATGAGACCCAGATGAGCTGTACGTGGCTGTCCCGTGACAGACTGCTCATGATGCCGCCTCTCAGAGGGACAGGGCACAGCTCTGATCACCGGTCCCACTAGGACTCCTGCATCTCGCTAAGTAAGGGGAGCAGGTGCTAGGAACACCGAGGACAAGGTAAAGCCAAGTTGCATCCTGGCTTGCTATCATCCACCTCTTTTCCCTGAATTCCCAGAGGATTAAAAGCCAGTGACAGTTCTCACCTCGCCCTTGATCAGGTCCCGGTGCCGCTGGCAGTACACCTTCTTGTCGTCCAGGAACACGCAGTGCGTGGCCCGCGAGCACATGAAGTGGTAGTTGCTGGTGCAGGAGGTGAGACAGCAGCCTACGGTGGCACCCGGCTTCTGACAGAACTCGCATCGCTAGCAAACCAGAACGAACCAGCCCGAGTCAGAGGTTCAAATATCTCACGCCATTTCCCACCTCCTCATTCTAGCGTTTCCTAGATATAATTTTGTTTATTGATAATCTGCTGGATCACAGAGAAGGGATATGAGCCATACAGTCCTCTCCACAAACTTTTCTCTCCCACGGTCCAGGGAGTCCTATAACCAATCAAGTTTAATATTACAATTTGATTTAGAATTTGGACCAAAATAGTTTTTCTTCTAGGATGCAAGGTTGGTTTAGAGAAGAGGAAACTTTGAAGATCAAGGCTAAAAACATCATCTTTCTAGAAAGCTATTCTATCCCAAAGAACTCCATTCTAGGAAGAGTATCCGAAACGTAATGGTGTCCTAGTTACCAGGCTTAACAGACACACCTATCCGTGGCTGACATTCCCTGTCACTAGGCTGTGGCACCACCTTATGCCATCAGTCACCGTCAGGGCCCTTCTCCAGCGAGGGCACTGGTCCTTCTTCGCCCTCACTCCCAGGGTCAGGAGAGCCAGCTGCTCGCCGTGGACACCAATACTGGGTCCTTGCTGGCCACCCCGAAGGCATATGGGAAACAGCAGGAGGCAGCACCCAGCCACAGACAGCACATCTGGAAACAGAGGGAGCCTCTTGGATGGCATTCCCTGCTCCTTACCAGCTGCTTGCCCCGGATCACAGCCATGTGCACATTCTTCAGGGACCCGTCATCGTCCTCAAACACTTCTGCCGACCACAGAGCACAGTTCACATGCGTCCACTCATTCTGGCCAATGTATAGCAAGCGGCCGGCATCCTGAAAACAAAGAGATTCCTTTTCTCTTTAAAGAATATTATGTCAAAGAAAGTTTTCCTTGGTATTTGTTTTACCTCAGTCAAGACAACTTCAATAACCTAATTAAAATTCTTTAAGTGCACACACACATAAAAAAAAAAAATCAGACATCAGACTTCTTTTTCAGCGTTCCCGTTTCACTCCCGTCCTTTCTGATCACCTCTTCCACAGAAGGGAGAATCAGAGAATAAGCAGACTGTGTGCCAGACCTTACACATCCCCTCCTCGGTCCTCAGAACCATTCTGAGGTAAGATTCTTCTTCTTCTGCTCATTTCAAAGATGAAGCGGAGGGTCAGAGAGGTTAAGTCCTTGCGAAGATCAGCAGCACAGAAACGGACCGTAGCCGTTTGCTCTACTGCATCCACCCGCTAGCTATCGCCAGCCTGTTTTGTCTTTTGGACAGAAAGTATAGTGTCTGTCACCGGTGACGGACTGGGCGCTTAGCATGTTAAATACAAATTATTTAATGTGCAACTTGGATTTAATTGACTTTCAAAAAATCTTTTTGAGAAGGTAGAAGTTACTAGACATGAGCAGGTTAAGTTAAGGCAAATCATCTTTTAAATCAGTTATAGAAATAACCCTGAGTTCCACACTCAGGCATCAAGCTTAGACACAAAGGTCACACAGCTCACTCTGAGCACCCAGCAGGTGGGACCCAGGCCGAGTACTTACATTGGCACCGTCATCGCCGTAAGTCAGACATAACGCGCACTGTCTGTTGTCTTCTATGCCCGGGGGTGGGTTCAGTTCTGGACTATCTTCTCGACTCCTATCAGTACCTTGGAGCCCAAAGACACCCAATTAAAACTGGCGACTCTAATTTCGATTTCCAGGAAAAAGAAACCAGTTTGGCTCAAACAGCTCATAACCTATAAAATGAACACTTTCAAAAAGTGTGCCAAGTTATGCTATCCCACCACTTACTAGAGTATGTCTATAAATTCCTTGTTAACATTCCAAGTGAAGCACAAAGAATGGTTTTATTACATTTAAGGATCACCTGAAAGTTTCTAACGCGCAAGGATATGAAATGTAGATCCCAGCCAGCCCGGGGCATCCTTACTCAGAGCGGGCGGCGTGGGGGGGTGCGAGGGCGTGGGCGAGTCTGGCTCTCCGGGCCCTTTGGGTCTGGGAGCCGGAATGATCTTCTTCATTAGCGGAGGCTGCTCAGTGCGGCCGCTGTCCTCTCGCTCCTGCCACTGAGCATAGTTATGGTCAAGTGAAGGCGGAAGCACTGCATTGGGTAGCATCCCGCTGCTGGAAACAATCGATCGACAGACTTACTGATCCCATAGCGACCGAACTACACACAGTGACATCTTCGGCTCACGGGGCTTGGCCTGGGCACGGCCAGTCCCAGACGTGAGCACAGCCACAACCTGTAAACCGCCTCAGCACACGGGACTTGGTGTTACTTTAAAAGCGTAATCTCAATGTAGGACTCTTGATGAAACTTCCAGAAGCAAGTGATCACTTTCTCAGACTCAAAAGGATTCACCTGAATAAAAACTTAATAAATATAGGGACTCGAGGTAGAGAGCACCATTTGAAATGAATAAAATAGGGCCCAATTCTAACAACAAACTATAAATGCACTGCTGTCTCTAAGCCAGCACTCAAAGAGCATTTCAACTGATTAAGTTTTTAATATTAAAGCCTACTCTTGAGAAACCTCAATCTAGAAATATAGCATAGGAGAAAAAAAAATTTACTTACTTGCTTGATACTTTATTTGGTTCCCAAAATCTGGACTTTTTGACACTGAACCATGGAAAAACACGTTCCATTTGCTAACAGAAAAACAAACAAACAAACAAACAGCATGTAAACCGGTGAACATTCATGTGGAAACCACATAAAATCCACATCACACAAGCGCCTGCAGATGCGAGGGAAAGACCATCCACTCCAAGGTCCCCCCCAACGCCCCCAGGAGTCAGAGGAGTGAATACAACCAGATGCTGAGCAGAGCACAAGGCAGAAGAGACAAGATCTGGCCGAAGCCGGTTTGGCTCAGCGGAAGAGCGTCGGTCTGCGGACTGAAAGGTCCCAGGTTCGATTCCGGTCAAGGGCATGTACATTGGTTGCGGGCACATCCCCGGTAGGGGGTGTGGAAGAGGCAGCTGGCCGATGTTTCTCTCTCATCGACGTTTCTAGCTCTCTACCTCTCTCTCTTCCTCTCTGTTAAAAATCAATAAAATATATTAAAAAAAAAAAAAAAAAAGAGAAAGACAAGAACTGTTCTGTTTGGGGCGGGGGAAGGAGGGGGTCCCCGCAGACAGGCATTAAGAAGGTGGCTATTAACGTGTATTAATGTGGTTCACCCGAATGAAGAAGGACTTGACCATGCTGTTGGCTTTCTTAAGCTCCGGCTGCCCTCCATCTGCATTAATGGCCGCCTGGATGATCTTCACGATGTCATCACTGAACTCCAACTGCGGACAAAAGCGAAGCAGTCACTACTCATGACACGGTACTTTCCGAACCACCTCCTTTCCCTCCTGACCACCCAGCAGAGGGCCCACGGGAAGCTAATGCCTTAGTTTCATAAGCACAAAGAATGGTTTTATTACATTTAAGGATCACCTGAAAGTTTCTAACGCGCAAGTGGTTTCTAATAATGTTTCATTAAAATTTATTTCTATTCACTGAAGCTGGTTTGGCTCAGTGGTAGAGCGTCGGTCTGCGGACTGAAAGGTCCCAGGTTCGATTCCGGTCAAGGGCATGTACATTGGTTGCGGGCACATCCCCAGTAGGGGGTGTGCAAGAGGCAGCTGGTTGATGTTTCTCTCTCATCGACGTTTCTAGCTCTCTATCCCTCGCTCCTCCTCTCTGTAAAAAAATCAATAAAATATATTTTTTAAAAATTTATTTCTATTGATTCCAGAGAGGAAGGGAGAGAAACAGAGACAGAGACAGAGAGAGAGAGAAAACGAACATCAATGGTGGTGAGAGAGAGAATCACGGATCAGCTGCCTCCTGCACGTCCCTTACTGGGGGATTGCCGGCAACCTGTGCATGTGCTCTGATTGGGATCAAATGTGGGACCCTTCAGTCCATAGGCTGATGCTCTATCCCCTGAGCCACACCAGATAGGGCCAGTGTGATTTCTCTTTAGAGGAGGCAATTGAGATTCAGTTCACAATTAACTTGTGGAAGTCAAGAGATGCAAGGCTAGTAAAGCAAGAATGCAAACAAATTAGTTGAATCACGGTAAGTTACTCAAGCAGGGCTATGATATTTTATTAAGATTAAAATTAATAACTGAAGAGCAAATATGGACCATGAGTTAACAATCGTTTCCCACATAGTTTGAAAACCATAAAATTAAAATGCATTTACCTACAAATGAATACCTTATACAGAAAGATAATGCTCAGATGTTATCTCAAAAAGGTCAAGCCATCTCTCTCTCTCTCCCAATTTTTTTTTTGGGGGGAGGCAACCAAAATTTTGGGTGGCCTTAAAAAAAATAAATAAATAAAAAAATAAAAAGGTCAAGCCAATTAACTTCACACTGTTATTTTTTTCCATAAAGTTTTAAAAAATATATATTTGTACTGATTTTAGAGGGAAAGAGAAAGGGAGAGAGAGAAGCGGGGGAAGAGGGGTGATGATGAGGGGGTGGAGAGAAACATTGATGACAGAGAACCACTGATTAGCTGCCCCCTGCACCCCTTCCACTAGGGATCAAGTCTGTGCTCTGGGCGGCACTGCCCTGACTGGGAATAGACCCAGCGACCTTTCAGTGCATGGGACGATGCTCAAGCAACTGAGCCACACCAGGGCCATAAACAGTATTAATATAAAAAGACTTCAATATGAAAGTAATTTTCAGAGAACTCAGATGAAAGCCAAATAAAAAGAATAAAAAGAACCCCTTAAGACACTAACCTTCTGAAACAAAGAGCTAAAGCCACCCACCTATTTTTAGGTATTTAAGGCCACACGACATTTCTAAACAGAATACAAATCATCCTTTAATGCTTATCCCCAGCTCCATCTTCCACAAAGAGCCGGGAAACTCCACCGGCCTGGGAATGCTGGTCGTTCGCCGCAGAGACATACCACAGACGTGTAGTTCCCTTGGTCCATCTTCTTCTTGACCCCTTCCAGATCCACAGGCTGCGGCTCCTCCTGCTTGCTGACCTCGGTGAGCACCGGCGGGTCCGGGCCCTCCGGGGAGCTGCGGGAAGGTATGCTCTCCTCCGTCTCGGGGTTTAAGTCTGGGGGCTTGGCAGCCTGTGTCCAGGAAAGGCAGGCTTCACTTATCTGACACTGAATAGGCATCTAGGCAAATGCTACTAAAGTTCATACAGATGGGACTGAGTGATTCATATTATAAAACTGAAAAAACATGGAAATAAGAGATTCCTCCAATTATAGAAAAGGAAAAGTTAAAATGAGCCAGCTATCTTGGCTAATTTAAGATTTTGCTTGGTAAATTCCAAGCCCAGCATGAAGAAATAGAAACTGCCCGGCCAGCATGGCTCAGTGGTTGAGTGTTGACTTATGAACCAGGAGGTCAGAGGTTCAGTTCCTGGTCAGAGTACATGTTCAGGCTGTGGGCTTGATCCTCAGTAGAGGCCGTACAAGAAAAAGCCGATTAATGATTCTTTCTCATCACTGATGTTTCTCTCTCTTCCCCTCTCTTCCTCCTAAAATCAATAAAAGTATATTAAAAACAAACAAACCCTCCACAAACTGTCCAGCTGCTTTTAAGTAAGACATAAATGGCAGCTAATTTTCTTTTATTTATTTATTCATTAAATTATTTTATTGAGTTTTTTACAGACAGGAAGAGAGAGGGATAGAGAGTTAGAAACATCGATGAAAGAGAATCATTTGCCCCTTGCACACTCCCCACTGGGTACATGCCCTTGACCAAAATTGAACCTGGAACCTTTCAGTCCACAGACCGAAACTCTATCCACTGCGCCAAACCGGTTTCGGCTAATTTTCTTTTTAAATATACATTTTTTGTTAATCCTCACCTGGAGATATTTTTCCATTGATTTTTAGAGTAGAAGAGACAGAGAGACACATTGATGTGAGACAGATACATTGACTGCTGCCTCCCACGCAAGCCCCAACCAGGGCCAAGCCTGCAACCGAGGTACACACCCTTATCCACAATCAAACCAGGACCATTCAGTCTGAGGGCCAACACTACCCACTGCGCCAAACCAGCTAGGGCACAGCTAATCTCCTATTTAAAAAAACTAAGCTCTCTTAAAGAGAAAGCAGCAGCCTAACTCTGTGTTGACATTACCCACGTGGTTCTGTCAACCAATCACTCCCGATGACGAGTAGAGACGCACAGTCCACAGCTTGTGCGGCTCCGTAGCAGCAGTTTTCAAACTGTACACTGAGGAGCCCCAGGGGTTCCCCAGAGCTACGCCCTTCCCACCTGAAGGAGGCACCGTGCTCTCGCTCACCTCGGTGACAGGCTGTCTCTGAACCCTGTCCTGCTGAGGCTCAGGCGTCTCCAACCCTTCCCCGCTCTCCAATCAGAAACATGCTTTTTCTAAAAAGCAACTCTGATCAGGTTACTCTTTTTATTTTTAATCGGAGCATAGGATATGTATTTTTATTGATTTCAGAGGGAGAAAACCAGAGAGGAAGAGGGAGAGAGGGGCAGAGGGAGGGACGGGGAGGGAAAGAGAAACCATGAGAGAGAAAGAGAGAGAAACACCAATCGGCTGCCTCCTGAACTTGCCTCAACTGGGGATCAAATCTGCAACCTGGGCATGTACCCTGTCTGGGTATCGAACCTACCACCTTTTGGTGTGTGGGATGCTGCTCCATGGCCACCGGCCAGGCTAGGATCCTCTTTTGGGTGAAGGCCTTCACTGACTCCTCATAGCCTTTAGAGTATACTAGTAAAGTCCAAATTTCTTATAAGGCCTTTTAAATATGCCTCCTTCCTATTTCTTACCCCAAAGAAGGACCTATTCTTCTTCTTTTTAAAAAGTTTTTATTTATTTCAGAGAGAGGAAGGGAGAGGGAGAGAATGATAGAAACATCAGTGATGAAAATCATCAATTGGCTGCCTCCTGCATGCTCCTCACTGAGAATGGAGCTGGAAACCCTAGCATGTGCCCTGACCGGGAATCGAACGGTAACCTCCTGGTTCATGGGTTGGGGCTCAACTACCGAGCAACGCTGGCTAGGCTAGAAGGTTTTATTCTTGGCTTGAAAAATGTTTTTAAAGATTTTAAGGTTAAAACAAGTCACCTACATGACTAAGTGAAGCAAAACTAAATGAAGCAAAATTAAAAAAAAAAAAAAAAAAAGAAAAGAAAAAAAGAAAACACACCCACCCAACCAAAAACCATTCTGGAAGTAAAAACCACTGAAGGACAAACTCTGAGAACCCAAAGGAGACGGGGCCTACCTGTCGGTAGCGTAGCAAGTGGCTGGTGGTCCGAGAGTTCAGCAAGGCCGTCAGCACCTGCTTGAGGGAGGCCTGCAGCGCCGTGGCCAGGGCCAGCCGCCACTCTGCAGGGTGCCGCACGGTGCAGTTCACACACGTGTAGGCCACACTTTCCGGCAGATTCGACAGGATCTCATACATCTCATCTAGGAAAGCAAAAACCTATAATCATAAGGTGCTTTGAAGAGCAGGAGAGGGAAGAGGGGAGACTACACCACTGAGCTTCAGAGAAAGCCGTCTGTTGGAAACAGCACTGAGACTAACATCCCCTGGGAGCTCGCACCTATGGATCTTCCAGGAGACGTTAATACTAGTCCGGACTTTGGTTACTGGGGGATCAATAGGTCATGGTACCCGCAAAGGACAGCAAGTAGGTATTTCAGAGGAACATGTTCAAGATAAATGGGCACAAACTTCACACTATGTTGTTGACTCTAAAGACAAGAAGTTAATTATAAAAAATTCACGTAACACTGCCACAGTTTTTACATTGGGAGGACTGAGGGGGCTGTCAGGGTAGCTATCAGAAAAGGAAACGGTAATAAAAAGATTCCAACCTTCTGTACCTGAAAGATTCTCACATTTGGAATGGACCCAGCGATCACATTTCCCACACTGCATCATCTTACTCTCATAGTCGTCATCGTCATAACACTTATCACAGAGAGGGCAGAAGTTTCCTGAAAGCAAAGCAACGTGCTCAGCTAAGTGCTTTGGTTCCCACACCACTGAAGCCCCGGCCTGGACTTCTGTATGTGAACCGCTGGCCGGCACACTTCAGTGATGGAGTGTCAACCTATGAACCGGGAGGTTGCAGTTTGATACGGGTCAGGGCACATGCCCAGGTTGCCGGCTCCATCCCCAGTAGGGGGCGTGCAGCAGGCAGACAATCAATGATTCTCTCATCATTGATGTTTCTATCTCTCTTCTGCTCCTTTCCTCTCTGAAGTCAATAAAAATGTATTTTTAAAATAAAACAAACAAATAAAATGCAGAAGCTACTTAACACACGTCAGCAAGGCCCTGCCAGGGAATGCGCACACACCTAGAAAGCAGCGTGATCACTCTGAGCTCTAGGACAGGCCGCTCGCTCGCTCTCCAGGCTCATGATTAAAGGCCCCGAGACAGATTTAAGATAACATAACAGAAAAAGCATGGAAGAGAGAACTTTCTCTTAATCGTTCCAAAGAAATGTTTAAATCTTACAAAGAGATGAGGGTATGGGAATAAAGAACAGTTAACTTATACTTTTCTTTATTCTCACTGCTTTTATAGAATGCTTCTAAATTCCAGCACTATAAAGTACTTTCACTAATTTGCTTTATCCCGATATCCCCTATTTTTTACTGAATAGACTTAGCACTGATTTGCCTATTTAAAAAAATATATATATTTTATTGATTTTTTACAGAGAGGAAGGGAGAGAGATAGAGAGCCAGAAACGCCGATGAGAGAGAAACATCGACCAGCCGCCTCCTGCATATCCCCCACCGGGGATGTGCCCGCAGCCAATGTACATGCCCTTGACTGGAATCGAACCCGGGACCTTTCAGTCCACAGGCCGACGCTCTACCACTGAGCCAAACCGGTTTTGGCTGATTTGCCTATTTTAAATAGCTTTAAAGAGTGAGTGACCTTTTACTTCATATTTATTCTAAGTGAATAAAATGATGAGTTCAATGAATTACTTAGATATGTTTTTTCTAGCATTAACTATTTCTTAAAATATGTATTCATTGATTTTAGAGAGGAAGGGGGAGGGAGAGAGAAATGGAAACATCAATATGAGAGAATCACTGATAGGCCGCCTCCTATACGCCCCTCACTGGGGATTGAGGACACAACCGGGGCATGTGCCTTGATCGGAAATCGAACCATAACTTCCTGGTTCAACCACTGAGCCATGCTGGCTGGTCTCTGGTGTAACTATTGAGGGAAAATGTTTGAATATGTGAAATGACATCAGAGGAGTGGCAGCCTGACAGCTCACCCGGTCCTCTCCCCTGAACCTTCACAAGCTAACCAAGTCTAACTCAACAAAGAAAGCCCTGCTCAGTGCAGAGGCACACCGAGTCCTGCACGGAAGCCCACAGGTGGGCCACGGGGAACAAACACGAGACGAGCAGGGAGGGAAGCACAGACGGCCCAGCGATGCGGCCCTGCAGCTGGGAGCTTCCTTCCGAGTGGCATGGGAGCAAACAGGTCTGAGCCAGCAAATGCCTGACAGATGCGGGGTTCTCCCGTGCAGCTCTCTGCTGCTGCTGGTGTTTCAGACAAAAAGCCACCTCGGGATCACAGAGCTTGCTGTGGCTTGGACTCCCCAAACGAGACCCTTGGGCCCTTGGGCCAGGAGATTGTCTGTATCCTAGAGCTATCGCAGTAGAACTGACGTCTCCCTCTGTGACTATCCCAGGAGGGCGCTCGGGGCGGGACCCAGAGGTGAAGGCCAAGGGTTGCAGTTACGGTGAGGGCAAACATACCCACTCCCAAGCAGCGGGCTGTACTGTGTTAAGGAAGCGATAGAGATTCAAGACTGGGAGATCACAGAGCTAAAACATCTGGCAATTCAGAGACATGTAAACAAATGGAACTAGATTAATTTGTCTCCATGTACAAAAATTAATTCAAAATGGCCGAAACCGGTTTGGCTCAGTGTTAGAGCTTCGGTCTGCAGACTGAGAGGTCCCAGGTTTGATTCCGATCAGGGGCATGTACATTGGTTGCGGGCACATCCCCGGTGGGGAGTGTGTAAGAGGCAGCTGGTCAGTGTTTCTCTCTCATCGATATTTCTAGCTCTCTATCTCTCTCTTCCTCTCTGTAAAAAAATCAATAAAAAAAGAAAAGAAAAGAAAAATTAATTCAAAATGGATCAAAGACCTAAATATAAGACCCTAAACAATAAGCTACGTAGAAGAAAATATAGGCACTAAACTTAAGGATCTTGGTCACAGAAAATATTTTATGAACTTGACCTTAAAGGGAAGTAAAGGCAAAAATAAATGAATGGGATTACATCAAACTAAAAAGCTTCTCCACAGCAAAAGAAACTGACAACAAAACACAGAGGCAGCCAACCTGATGGGAGATATTTGCAAACAGTACAAAGGTTTTATCTCCAAAATATATACAGAACTCATGAAAGTCAACAGCAAACAGATAATCCAAACAGTGGGCAGAGGACCTGAAAACACACCCTTCCCAAGAAGACAAACAGCCAATAGACAATGAAAAGGTGTTCCACCTCACTGGCAGTTAGGAAAATGCAAATCAAAACTACAGTGAGATGCCACCTCACACCTGTAGAGTGGCCATAATCAACCAGACAAGCAACGAGTGTTGGAGAGGCTGTGGGAAAAAGGGAGACCTCATTCTCTGCTGGTGGGGATGCAGACCGGTGCAGCCACAATGGAAAGCAGTCTGGTGATTTCCTAAAAAAATTAAGAACTGAGGGACCCAGCAATCCCTCTCCTGGGTATGTACCCGAAAACTCAAATCATGTATTCACAACGAACATGCCCCTGTGTTCACTGCAGCACTATTCACAGTGGCCAGGGCATGGAAGCAGCCAAAGTGCCTTCAGAAGAGGACTGGCTAAGGAAGACGTGGTCCACACACACGTGGAGTACCGCTCAGCCACATGAAAGGAAGAAAGAGCGCCATTCGCACCAGCACGGATGGACCCTGAGAGCATGATGCTAAGTGAAATGTCAGAAAAAGCTAAGAACCATATGATTTTTCACTCTGTGTGGGATATAAAACTTAAACCCGTGAACACAAACTGCAGTGTGGTAATTGCGAGGAGAAGGGGGTGGAGGAGAAGGGGGACCTAATATGTGGTGACAGAGGATGTGACTCTGGGTGGCGGGCACACAGTGCATAGACAGAATCTGCCACATAGAAGCCCACACCTGACACCTGTGTGTTCATGTGGACCAATGGCCCCCCAATCATCTTAACAAGTTAACTAAACATAAAAGAAAATCAGGTAAAATGGTTGCCTCAGTACCACATAAAATCATTTCTGAAACAATCAAATATCTATGTACCTCACTTTGGGAAATACTGGCTCAGAGAACTTCTTTGTGGTTAGTTAACTCTTATAAAAAAAAAAAAAAACTACTTAATTTTTCTCATAACCTAATAAAACATGCCTAGTGGCTATAATTCTGTATAAAAGAAAGCAAGACTAGAAACTTAATAAATGTGTCTAAATGGAAACCTTGCAAAGACGTGTAAGACATTTATCTTATTCCACTTGAGTGTTCAGTTCACCTCCAAACACCAAGAACAACATCTAAAATGCGACAAAACGCTCTGGGCAGCACCTTTAGCAAAGAGTTTGGCACAGTCGTGGCACAGTGAGAAGTCGTGGGACCACTGCGCGTCCCAGCCTTTGCCTGGGGTGGTGGATCCGCAGCTCTTGCAGCGCACACACTTGGTGCAGATCTGGAAGGAAGGAAACAAATGCAGTCGAGTTTCTTCTCTGTAGTGTCTCCTCTGATTTAAAAAGGTCACAAATATCTAGAGTTGACTTGTCTCCTGGGATGGCTTTTTCTAATAACAAAGCCAAAGTAACTGTCACCCTGACATCTTCAAGCAAGGACACTGCTAAGGTAAGCCCCCCAGCCCAGCTGCATGACAGTCCTCCTGGAACACATGGTGGCGCACTCACCCACACTTTCTTTTTCTTGGTAGGTTTGGTGGGGTAGTTAGGTCCTAGGCACTCAGGGTGATAGCTGTTTCGGCACTTATTACATTCCAGCAGCTGCTGTAAGACAGACACGAAGGCAAAGCATGGGCCTCACCTCCCCACGGCGAACAGCGTCGCTGCACACCTCACTTCCTGCTTCTCTTCAGTAAGCACAGCACAGCCGCCCAGCGGCACATTTCCTCACAAATTACGTACTCCCCATTAAAACCCACGAAATTACTTCATGCCAAAGGCACCCAGGGGTGAGTATGCTTATCAGGTAGACTTGACTTATTTGGGGGATTTTATCCAATGCCACGTCTTGTGCAATATCCCCAAAATTAAAACACAAAAATAGGCAACTGATTATATACAATCAAATAGTCAAACAGCCTAAGTCAAGAGAAAAAACAGATGCAAACTCCTAAAGGCAAAGGCAGGAATGAAGATAGTCATCCTTCAAGCAGTTCTATTGCTTAGCCGTGTACCTTTGTGGCTTGGTGCTGCCTTCCACAAACGTGACAGAACTTGCAGCGACGGCAACACCAGTTTTCCAGCTGGTCCTCCAGGGGGCGCTCGTTCTCCTCTAAACAGAACCTGTGGAAGGGCTCACAGCAGACTTGGCAATACACAAACTGGGGAAAGATGAAGAAAAAGTCACGGAATAGTATACAGATATACCAACCAAATCCTACACACATCCTTTGGGAGTTAGGAATATAGTGCTCTCTCTATTTTATTCAGTATATAGTCAGTATGCAATGAGTATATTTTTTCTTTTTTCAACAGCACAATACAGGGCATTGCAGAAGATTCAGGGAACTAATGTGGGAGTAATAAAATTATAAAGTAACAAAATAAATACAACCCAAGCTTTCACATGATGTGCTAAGTGACATAAGATAGCTATAAACAAAGAGCTATGGGGATGTAAATAAGTGGGGTAGGGGAAAACAGGGAGGGTTTTAAAGATTTTCTACAATATTCTAAACAGTTGTAAGCTCTGGTTTATCCTTTCCATGTCTAATTTTAGAAATAAATTATTTTCATAACAGTATTTTTAAAAATTCCAATGAGGGTGACCCAGAATGTTCTTTCTTTTTTTAAAAAATATATTTGTATTGATTTTATTGATTTGAGAGGAAAGTAGGAGAGAGAGATAGAAATATCAGTGATGAGAGAGAATCACTGATCGGCTGCCTCCTGCATGCCCCACACTGGGGATTGAGCCCACAACCTAGACATGTGCCCTGACCAGGAATCGAACTATGACATCCTGATTCATAAGTTGATGCTCAACCATTGAGTCTTGCCGGCTGGACCAGAATTTTCTTTTGCCTAAAATAATTACTGGGACAACTGGTCAAACCTAAATAAGGTCCATAGATTAGCTAATAATGTACTAATGTTATTTCCTGTTTTTTTTTTTTAATAAATATTTTTATTGATTTCAAAGAGGGAGAGGGAGAGAGATATAGAAACATCAATGATGAGAGAGAATCACTGATTGGTTGGGGATTGAGCCCGCAACCCGGGCACGTGTTCTGGCCAGGAACTGAACCATGAGCTCTTGGTTCATAAGACACCAGCAAGGCCTTATTTTTGATTTTGATAATTAGAGGTAAAACTGCACATGTCTGGAACGTGCTCTCAATTTTTTAGGAAAAATATGTCTACGTATATAAAAATGTGTGTATATTTTATTTCTTATTTTGTAAAATATAAATACAAAGAAAAAAAAGTAAATGAAAACTATTATTGTTTGGGGACTCCAGGTGAAGGGGAGATGAGGGCTCTTTGTGCTACCCCTGTAACATTTCTGAAAATCTGAAATCATGTCAACATAAACCCCTTTTACAACGTGCTGGTGGGAGACCCGCAGGCCCTGGTTGTCCTGTCGGAGGCAGAGGGCGCGCGCATCCGTCCTCCAGTCGGGCTTTAGGATTCTGTGGGGTCGCTGTGCACAGCCGTGCCATTTAAATGAGAGCAACCACACTTTGGAAAACTGTTTTATCCCAGAAGCTGAAGTCCTGGTGCATAAGTGCTTCCTCTGTGGGTAGCATATGTGTGAATATAAAGCACTCAATTAAGTAGGAAAAGAAGGACAGTGCCCCCTGGCACTTGCAGGCTGGATGTTCTCAGTTTCAATGTCATCTAAAGCAGCCCTAGCATAAACAATACTGACGGAAACCCTTCGGTTCATGATGTGTATACAGATACACTGAGTGGCCAGATTATTATGATCTCTGAACGCATAATGACCTGGCCACTCAGTGTATATCCTATATAATAAAAGGCTAATATGCAAATTGTTCCCTTGACCAGGAGTTCAAACAGCAGGCAGGCCGGCTAACCGCCCATGTCCCCTCCCTGTGGCCAGGCTGGCCGGACCCCACCCATGCACATATTCATGCACCGGGTCTCTAATACACACACACACACACACACACACACACACACACGCACACACAGAGTGGCCAGATTATTATGTGTTCAGAGATTATAATAATCTGGCCACTCAGAGTATATGGAAAGGTTTGTTTTTATATGTATTGTACATACACATATACATGTACATACATTTACACATTTCCCCATTTAACCAGTTACATTCATGAGATAAATGCCTGTAGCACAACAGCTGGCTTAGAGGGTATACCCATCTAAAATGGAGTACATACTTCCAAAGAGCCTTCAGAAAGAAAGACTGTAACTGATTTAGCTCCACCGGAGAGAGTACCCATTCTCACAATCCTTTTTATATCATGCGGTTCCCCCTTTATATCATGCTTTCACTCCCATCAGAAAGCTCACCACCTCCGCCCACACTGTTTTATTTCCCATTTCATGCGTTTTATATTCCTGTCCTTAAACCTCTTTCTTACTGGGTGGTACTCCTTTTCCTTACTAATTGTTAAAGAGCTCTTCAGAGACAAGGGGTTTGGATATTCAATATGAAACCATCAAAAGCGTCTCTTTTCCTAGAGGAACTCATATTGTTTTCCTCCTTGTTTAAGCATCTAGCAGAAAACCAGGCCTCAGTAAAGAGTACACTTTTCTCACTCAATACATCTTTGTGACCCTACTGTGAAGCAGATGGCTTCCTAAAATCTCTAAAACATTTCAAAAGTATTTCATAAACTCATTTAGTTATTTTTTAATCTCCACCCGAGAATTTTCCCATTGATTTTTAGAGAGAGTGGAAGAGAGCGGGAAAGAGAGAAACATCAATGTGATAGAAACACACTGATTGGTTGCCTCCTGCACGTGCCCCAACCAGGGCCCTGGGCCAGGGAGGAGCCTGCAACTGTATCAAACATGCCCTGGACCAGAATCAAACCCAGGATATGATCTGCAGGCCAGGGCTCTATCACTGAGTCAAACCAGGCAGGGTGCATAGTACCTGCTGCCTACTAACAAAACAGAATACTAAATACTAAAAGCCAGCAACCGTAACAGCATAACGACTAGAATGACCGATCAACCAGTCACTACGAGGGGCATTGACACCATCAGTCCCTCCCCACAGCACGCATGCTCTGATGGCTGGATGGCCAACGGGGAACCAGGGTGGGTGACAGCAGGGCAGGACTGGAGACTGGCAAGCAGGCGGAAGGCAGACCTCTCGGTCCCTCCCCCCCGGCCCACAGGCTCCAATCGCTGGATGGCGAATGGGGAACCGCAGGGAACTGGGGTGGGCAGCGGCAGGGCGGGACTGGGGACTGGTGAGCGGGTGCAAGATGGCTGATCGTAGGTTAGGCCTAGGAACCCCACTCTGCACGATTTCGTGCACTGGGCCTCTAGTTCAATGATATTTTCATCAATGAAAACTAATCTACATTACCCTTGCTAGGGCACCAAAAGGCAGTCTCTCACCTCCACGTGCCCACTGCTGGCACAGAGGAAGCACACCACCCTGGGCGTGATGGGGAGGGAGGTCAGGATGCCCAAGCCGCCCATCTCCCACACGTTCTCGGCTTCACAATCCTCCTGCAGAGAGAAAAACCATGTATGAAAGTTTTACATGACATAGCAATACCAAGCATACCTCCTTTAATGAGTTCAAAAACAACTGCTGCTTTAAAAACATTTACTATCGGATACTAATACAACTGTTAAAACGGTCACCTCTTTATGGGTTTAATTCACGCTAACTACAATGCAAAGTAACACTGGGACTGAATTCCCGTTAGTTTTACTGATCCAAGTTATTGTCATCCTTTGATAATTCCCTTGGGAAAGGATGATTTCCTCAGACACTATATTCATGTAAATGTACTTTATTACTCACACACACGAACCCTCTGCTGATGGTAGTTCATGTTCATTTCCCCGCTCTGTGCTGAATTTCCTTCCTTCAGCACCTCTGCTAACATTATTATCTTAATTGAGGACTCTGGCTTCTGATGAAGGTCCCACAGCCATGTGTGGTGGTTACAAATCGGGAGGGGATCTTGGCTGCGAGGGGAGTCCCAGCCCCACAGGAGGCGCCCAGCCCAGTGTTTGGGGCTGCAAAGAGGTCCCCGTGACTTCTGCTCCAGCTCATTTCCCTCTGAGTATCATATCTGAGTCTCAATCAACTTGGCTAGCAAGTTTGTCTGCCCCAGTGACTCCGAGACCCTTACCTGTCCAACTTGCAGGCCCATCCAAGATGATCCCAGTGGCTTTTCCACACAAATGGCCTGCCCTTGCTCATGCTGCAGACTTTCCTAAAATCTCTCAAAGGGTCCACAAACCCCAAACAAGCAGCATCTACCTCAGCAGGCCCCATACTTGCTGCTAAGCAGCCCCAACCCCAGCAACAGCAGCAACTGAACTCAGTTTTCAGTTTAGCCTTCTCCCAGGCACCTCCATGCCAGGCACAGGTAGCAGCCACTGCAGATCATCTTGTAGCTCATGCCGGATGACTTCAAGGCAGCAGCTGAGCTTGGCTAGCTCCTCCCAGGAGACCCAACACCAGCACATCCAGGGACCACCTCAGATCACATAACCTCAGACCACCCAACCATCACTACACTCAGGGATAGGCTGGGCAGGCACCAGAGCCCTGCTGAAGGGAGTCCTGTTCCGTGAGGTGGGCGACTGCACAGCAGCTCCTCCGCTGTGGTCTCTGCAGTCCTACCAGTCAATCAGCCTGGGGTACCTCCCTCCCTCTGAGGTACCGACAGCAACCCAGGCTCAACTACAGCAGGCGGCGCACACAGCCCACAATGGGGGCACAGCCGGATGCCTGGCTCTGGTGACCAGGGAGGCAGCCCCACCAGGACACCTACCACATCAGGCTGTACTACCAAGACCAGGAGACACAGCAGCTCTACCTAATCCATAGCAACAAGGCGGGAGGCTGCCAAAGTGAGAAAACAAAGAAGCATGTCCCAAGTGAAAGAACAGAAAACTCCAGGTAAAGAACTAAACAAATGGAGACAAGGAATCTACCAGATGGAGAGTTCAGAACACTGGTTATAGGGGTGCTCCATGAACTTAGGGGAGGAGTAGAGGAACTCAGTGAGAAACAAAGAGACAGTAAATGTGAATGAGATAGAAAACATAAAAAAAATACCACACAGCCAGAAATGTAGGATACACTGACTGAAATGAAGAATACATTACAGGAAACCAATGGTACTAGTGGAGTAGATGAGGCAAAGAATCAAATCAGGTTTGGAAGATAAGGAAGCAGAAAACACCCAATCAGAACAGCAACAAGGACAAGAAAAATGCCCCCAAATGCGGACAGTGTAAGGAACCTCTGGGACAACTTCAGGTGCAGCAATGTTTGCACCACGGAGGCACCAGAAGAAGAGAGAGAACAAGGAATTGGAAAGCTATTGGGAAAATGACAGCAATTGGGCAACATCTGTAACACTGTAACAATAAAAAAGAAAAAATTGACAGAAAACTTTCCTAACCTGGGGAAGGAAACAGACATAAAGTCCCTGAGGCACAGAGTCTCAAATTAGTTTAATGCAATGAGGCCCACACCAAGACACATCGTAATTAAAATGACAAAGGTTAAACACAAAGACAGAATCTTAAAAGCAGCCAGAGAAAAACAGTTACCTACAAGGAGCGCCCATATGACTGTCAGCTGATTTCTCAACAGAAACTTCATAGGCCAGAAGGGAATGATAAGAAACATTCAAAGTGATGAAAAGCAAGAACCCCTCAACCAAGATTGCTCTCTACAGCAAAGCAGAATTGAAGGATAGACAAAGAACTTTCCAGAAAAGAAAAAGCTAAAGGAGTTTACCACCATGAATTAGTATTACAGGAAATGTTAAAAGGTCTTCTTTAAGAAGAAGAAGAAAAAGATCAGAGTTTGAATAATAAAATGGCAATAACTATGTATCTATCAACAATAACTTTAAATACCAAGGGCTTAAATGCTCCAATCAAAAGACACAGGGAAGCTGAATGGATAAGATGCTGAAATATGCTGTCAAAACAAGACTCCTGTCAGATGGAAAGACACAGAGAAAATAAAGCAATGAAAAAAGAAATTTCATAAAAATGGAGCAAACAAAAAAAGCTATGATAGCGATACTTATACCAGGCAAAACAGACTTTAAAACAAAGATTATAACAAGACACAAAGGATTCAACAATTCCTATTCTGGGTATTTTTCGAAAACCCCCAAAAACTAAATAAAAAAGACATTCATCCATGTTCACCGTGGCATTGTTTACAACAGCCAAAGTGTGGAAGCAACTTAAGTGCCATCAACAGACAAATGGATAAAGAAGTGGGGCATTACCCAGTGAAACACGACTCAGCCACAAAAAGAAATGAAATCTTGCTAATTACAACAACATGGATGGACCCAGAGGATATTGTGCTGAGTGAGATAAATCACAGCCAAATGCCAGATTCTCTCACTTGTATGTGGAGTCTAAAGAACAAAGTACACAAACAAAACGAAACAGACTCCTAGATACAGAGAATATTTTGATGGTTTCCAGAGAAGAAGGGGGTTAAGGGAATAAGTAAAAAAAAAAAAAAAGTGAAGGGATTAAGAAGCACAAACTGGTAGTTACAAAATTGGCATAGGAATAATATTGGAATAACTATATGGTGCCAGATGGGTACTAGATAAATGTCTAATCACATGGTTGTACACCTGAAGCTAACATAATATTGAAAGTCAACTGTAAATGAAACATAAAAAAATTATTTTAAAAATATGAAGTCCACAACTCAATATACTACGTGGTCACCGAACACTTTTACCTTAAAGTCCACTCTGATCCTGTGGACGCCATCTGCGGGGACCTTCTGCTTGGAGCTGCTGCCGTTGGAGAGAGTGCTGAGGATGTTCAGAGTGCCTGCGTTCTCCTGCTTACTGACGGGAGGTGGTTTTTCCTACAGGGACAGAAAACAAGGAACAAAACCACACTTTACTTGCCTTCACTTTTTAAAAAATACTTTTTTAATTTGATTTTTAGAGAGAGAGGAAGGGAGAGAGAGAGAAACATTGATATGAGAGTGAAACATCGACTGGCTGCCTCCTGCATGCCGCACACAGGGGATAGAGCCTACAACCTTTTGTGCACTGGCGGAACCTCAATGAAGTAAGCCCCGGCGGCCAGGCTTCCTTGGCTTTGCAATAGAAAATAATGCAAATGACAAATCTAATTAACAGAAGGGAAAACATGTTTCCAACACAACTATCCTATAGAAATAGTGAAATACTTTTTTTTTTTTTCATTAAGGCCTTTTATTTGCATGTATGTAATTACAGTCCCAGAAAAGAACCCAATGTTTTTCCTCCTTTGTGTTTTCCTCTTGCTTCTCTGTGGTCCATGACGCCAGCATAATGAAACCAAACTCGCGGGCAGGCGCAGGTTACTCTGCAATGTTTCTGGATCTTCCAGTTCAAACTTGGGCTGATCACTCCACATTTGTTTAACCTGCCCACGAGGTCCACAGCAATTTCCCCAGCTCTGTGATCACCGATGATTTCAAATTTGCCAATGGAATCACGCTTCATCATCACAGCCAGAAACCGGGCGATGACTCTGGAGCATGGCCTAATAAAAACCTAGCGTCTGCTGCCCTTCTTTGCATCATGGATGCTCTTTAGAGCATCAGCCAGAACATACATGTGTACCATTATGATGGCATGGAAAGAGGGCGAAAAGAGCCAGAAGAGTCTTAAAGATCTCTGTCTTTCCACATCCTAAAAACAGTGCACACAGGGAAGGATGGCGATTACAGACAGATATTGCTAAAGGATGCTAAGCAGCCTACAGCATACGCTTGTAGGGCCACAAGGAACAGAAAACAAGGGGAAAGAGACAAAAAAGGGTATGAGCTAACACCTAAATTCCACCTACAAAGAAGAAAAACGCAATTTCATCCACTCGACTACATCACGAACAAGGCTCTTTTCCTATAGAACAGAGCACACCCCTGAGAGATGGCAAAGAAACACAGCTCTCACCTTTTCTTTTGGTTTTTGTTTTACAGGAATACTTGGGCGAGGAGCCACCTTTTTCTGCTTGCTTTGCTCTGGACCTGAAGGATTCAAAATAAATCGCAGTCAGAGGCTACCACACTCACAGCTAATGGTAAAGAGCAATGACTCCGCCAGGACTGATAGGCCTGGGAAGAAGAGGCTGCTAGAAAATGAAAACGACCTAAACTCTAGGCATGGAACAGGAAATTAAGACAGTATCTCCAACTTAACTGTGTTTTGACTTCTATTTCTTTATTACTGTGGACAGTTAAAAGCTAATTTTCTTACACGGAAGACTGAAACATCTATTGCAGGTTTTCAAATGCTGTGTAAGACATCGGTGCTTTTTGCAAGTCCTCCTGGCTCGGCAGCTCCCTCACTCACCTGGGTCCGGCGGCGGGGGCTGCTTCTTCTTGGGCTCGCTGGGAGCTGCCTTGGGGGCGTCTTTCCTGGGGGGTGCCGTGCTGGGTGGCTGAGGGGGGGGCGCGGGCGCTGGCTGGGAGGCCTGCTTGCTGGACTTCCTGGAGGCTGGCGTGGGAGCCTGTTTGGGTTCGGGCGCCGGAGCAGAGGCGGGCCCCTCTTCGCTCTTCTCTTCTGTGTGCTTCCGAGGGGGAGGCTCACTGCTGCTTTTCTTGGGGACGGGGTCCTCACGTGCCGACGGGAGGGGCTTCTGATTGGCGTCCACTACGCTCTTCACAACACTGTTCTCTTTACTCTCTTTCTTTTCACTGCTCTTGGACTTCTTCTCTTTCTTTTTCACAGCTAGGGGGAAAACATGATTATCTATAAGCAAGAAAAATTTTATTTAAAATAGGACTATAGGAATGTAACCATCTTATGCTCAGTTTCCTGCAGCTAATGTTGACAAGAAAGTTAAGCTGGTCAGATAGAATAGCTATACTCTCATTGTTCTAGGAAATGGAAGAAACTGTAATCTTTATATGAATTTTTAAAATGTGTGTTTTTTTTAAATGGAAATTTCAAACATACTCTACTTAAAAAGAAACCTAACCAGTATTCTCGTTCCACTAGATGTGCACAGCTATATGGCATTAACACGAGAAGCATGTTGGGGAAGAGCTCTGGACAACATCACCTTTTGCTTGCTTCTGAAGATAGGCTTTCGAAGGCATCCACTGTAGATTCTGACATTTTCTCATCCTAGGAGAACAAGGGGTATCACAAAGTGAGTGGCGCTTAGAAGAGAAGCAATTTGGACAAGTGTTAATCTGCCTGCAGTAACCAGGGAATCTTTATCCGGGCCATTCTGAGAACTGGAAAAAGGACGGCTCATTACACAGGTGAAACCAGAGCCTTCAATCAGTGACTGTCCCTATCTTTAAGTCCTAAAAGGAGCAAATACCACATAATCTTTTAAACGAGACTCAAATTTCTTATAATCTAGTACAAAACCATCGGTTGATATTTTTTATTCTCAAATCAGTTCTGTTCTGAGATTAATATTCATTTAGAGTAACCTGATTATAAAATAGACTAAAGTTATCCAGCAAGTTCTCTCTCTGCCACCACAGTGCTACAGATCTATGTCAGGACTTTGATACACACACACACACACACACACACACACACACACACACACTAATATATTAGAAGCCCAATGGATGAAATTCATGCAAAAGTAGGCCTTCCTTCCCCTGGCTGTTGGCACTGGCTTCCCTCTGTCACCTGGGTCCTTGGCTTCCCTCGAAGCATTGGCTTCGTCTGGAACAGTGGTCGGCAAACTCATTAGTCGACAGAGCCAAATATCAACAGTACAACAATTGAAATTTCTTTTGAGAGCCAAATTTTTTAAGCTTAAACTCCTTCTAACGCCAGTTCTTCAAAATATAGACTCACCCAGGCCAAGCCACACTCAAGGGGCCAAAGAGCCGCAGTTTGTCGACCACGGTAACATATTAACATATGTATAATAAATACTACCCCTCAATTTAACGAAATTCAAACGTAGTGTTAAGTGTAAAATGTAACCGAGTCCATTTCTATCCCAAAATTCAGTATGACTTTATCTTTTTGCTGAGCTGTGAGTTCTCTCTCCTTTACATGAGACAGAGAAAAGATTCTTGTTTAACTGCCGGAATGACTAAACCAAAGCACAGGACTACCTGCTGTTTCCTGGGAACTGCCTCCCTGAAGTGAGTAACGCAGAATTGCTCCCATTAGTTTTACATAAGTCACTTCCACGTCATTCATTCATTCATTCATTCAGAACATATCTACTGATAAAATCTACTCCTGATTCCAGGCACTTTCTGATATGCTCAATTCCCAAAAAGTCTGTCTGTGCAATTCTTCTGATCCACTTTAGACAAATTACCCATAGGGTCAAAGTGCATCCACAAACTGACTAAGAAAGGGAGAAGAGATCAGCACAACGTCCGTATCACAAATCCCAAGGCGTGAAACTACCCCGAGAGACAGCAGAGACATAAGTAGATGTCACCAATGCTTCTCGAAAGTCATAAAGATAAAGGGAATTTCAGTTGACCTGATAAATATGCCTGAATCTGTCAGTTTTCAAGCAGAAAGCCCCTCCAGCTTCGTTGATATGATAACCCCAAAGCACACGTGCTACGTACATTTAAATTAACTAAAATGTAGTTTCTCGCCATTCACCACATTGCAATCGCTCCACAGCTGCATTGGGCTCATGGCACCAGGTGCACTGAGCAGCTCAAAGCATTCTCAGCGCTGCCAAATGTTCTCCTAGACAGCCCTGCCCCAAGGAACGTCTGTTTAAAGCACAGCTCACCCTGGCTGGTGTGGCTCAGTGGATAGAGCATCGGCCTAAGGGACTGAACAGTCCCAGGTTCGATTCCCGTCAAGGGCACATGCCCAGCTTACGGGCTTGATTCCCAGGGTGGGGCATGCAGTAGGCAGCTGATCAATGATTCTCTCTCATCGTTGATGTTTCTAACTCTCTCCCTTTTCCTTCCTCTCTAAAACCAATAAAAATATATTTTAAAACATAAAATAAAAACGAAGCACAACTCACACCTAGTCATGCTGTGCAGCTAACCTTGAAACCCAAGAACTGAGTACAACCATGTTCAGTTTTCGGATTCATCTTTGCAACGAACGGAGCAGTCACCCTCCTTCATGGAGGGAGGCCGCCTCCGAGGAGCCCACTCACTTGCAGCACTGCTTCTTTATGTTGCGGCCTCCGAACTTGGGCTTATCCAGGCAGTTAGTGCAGACACCACAGTCCTCGGGCACCTGGCAGCCAGGGCACTGCCCACACCGCCTGGAGCGCCGGCCCTTCTTCACGGGGGGCTCCTGGGGTGCCTTGTTCCTGGTGACGGGTTTGATCGGCTTGATGGGCGGAGCAAGAGGCTCAGCATCTTCTGAGCCGGCAATGGAGGACTTGTCTGTTGGAGAAACGCATTGTTAGCTCTGAAGGAGGATCTGGTTCCTTCCTGGGAGCAGAGGTGGAGAGCTTCAAAATCCACTATACCACTAGCTACATTCAAACTTTGTTTTCACTGGGACTCCAAAAGTGAAATGGAATACATTAAAAACCATCATATGCGGAACTGAAAGCCTGTTTAAATAGTTATTTAAGTGTTATTAAATGCCTATAAACGTGTGGCTTAAAGAAAGCAGAAACCTAAACACTGAAAACAAAAGATAGTCTAACCCGAAGTTCAAGAAAACGAACTGACTGCTCCTGAGGACTGCCTACACTCTACATTCTAATGAGTATTTACCCATCACCTGAGAGCTATCGGGTGACCATGAGCCTCACTAACCCCCAAATACATGACTGGCCCCAGGCCCGCTGCTGAGCTCTGAAACCCATGGCGCCGAGCCTGCCGGCACGGGAAGGCTCCCAGGCAGTGAGCATGTGCGAATGCTCAGACAGACCTGCTCCTGAGGGACACAGATCCCTCCGGCGGTCACCTTTTCCTCAAGGACGGTCTTGCCAAACCTTTTAGCCTGCAAGGCGGTCTAGGAGGGCTGGCCCGAAGATTCCCTCCCTCCTTCATTGACTGACAGCTCTCCCAGCCTTCCCTGGCTCCCTCCCCGTTGGGCCTCACAGACAGTCCTCTAATGAGAATCCTTGTTCACCGAGCGCCCCCTTGCCACCTGTTTGTAGAGGATCCAGACGAATACATGATGCTGTCGAGAGCCTTCGAGGCATCCCAGAAGGATCAGCAGCAGATCACCCGGTGCTAAGACTTGAAGGCTGACACCCTGACCTACCATCATTCCCCATGGAAGACAAAATCTTCTCTCGTTCTTCCCACGGTAAGGCACTCAGGGTGGGCATGTCGTCAGGAAACACAGCGCGTTTTCGGCCAAGGGCCACGGCAGCTCTTCTGCAGACGTGTTTAATCCGGGGTCCTCGCACAGAGGTCTCTGATGAGTCACTTTCTTGACCCTAAGTAGGAGGGAACCCAAAACAAACAACAACCACACATGTTGACAATATATGTTAAATGAAACCAGCACATTTTTGGCTAACTTATTATAATCTAGACTCACTCTAGTTATTTCCAGCTGATAGGCCATATCAATTTGCAGGAATCAACTACTTCTGCATCCTAACATTGGCAGGAAAAAGACAGAAATCAACTAAGTTCCTATTCCTAACTACACTACTTCTTGAAAATTCCCCTCAAAATTCAAGCCGCCAGTATATTATCAAGAAGTTCAGGCTAGCCGGGACCGGTTTGGCTCAGTGGATAGAGCGTCGGTCTGCGGACTGAAAGGTCCCGGGTTCGATTCCGGGCAAGGGCATGTACCTTGGTTGCGGGCACATCCCCAGTGGGGGGTGTGCAAGAGGCGGCTGATCGATGATTCTCTCTCATCGATGTTTCTAATTCTCTATCTCTCTCTTCCTCTCTGTGAAAAATCAATAAAATATATATTTAAAAAAAAAAAAAAGAAGAAGTTCAGGCTAATCACCATTTCCTGTATTTCCCTGGTCAACAGGGAAGTAGGAGGACATAACCTATGAATGAAGTATAAAAGACTCCAAAGCAAAAAGTCTCCCATCTTAAAGAGCTACTGCTCATCACTGGGAGGCTAACCAAAAAACACCCAAAATCGTGTCAGAGGAAGTCCCTGCTGAACTCCCAAGTTGCAGAATTAGTAGAAAATGGCCCAGGCTGAGGAACATTAAAAACCTAGGTGTGTGTTCGCTGCGCCCTGACTGAGATGTTGGCATAAATGTGCATTTACTGTATGACAAATTTTAAAATTTGTCATACAGTAAATGCATACAGAAAAGACCATACAGAAAATGCACATACAGAAAAGACCAGTGCCTAGTTTACCATGTAAAAAGAAAAACAAAACCACAATACTGTTCTTGGTAAAAATATGTTTGTCTTCATCTTACTAACTCTTCAACAGCTTCTCTGTCCCAACCTGAGGCCAACGGCTTCTCCGGTGTATCTGCTGCACACACCCTCTATCTAGCTATCTATCTATCTATCTATCATCTATTTATTTCTCTCATCAGCACCCCTTAGAGGATGAGAATCCGCCCCCATCCCGTTTTCAATAGTAAACAACTTGACTACAGAATTGTACCTTCAAAACTGTTACAGGTTCTAACTAAAAAAACCCATTAAGTACAAACTTCTGTCACGTGGCCCCAACCTACCTGTGGGCCTTGGCTCACCCCTTTCCAGGCTACGGTCTACCTACTCACCGCCCTCACACGTGTCTCTACCTCCCGTTCCTCTCCTTGCCATGCCCTCCCCTATCACTGTCCACCTCTCACAGGTCACTGCAGATGTCCCCCCTTCCTCCGCCTTTCCCGACTCCCGGACCGGACAGAACGGAGCCCTCAGCTAACGCTGCCCTGGAAGGAGCTGCGGGACGGAGGTCACCAGTACCTGTGCTTTGGGCTGGTCGGTTTGCTTAAGACTCTTACTCTTCTCGATCTTGCAGAGCTGGGCCTTGGCCTTCTTGAGGAGGCTGGCGACCCTCTTGTCGGTCATGGGGAGCTTGTCCGCCTGCGCCAGCATGGAGCCGATGGAGGGCGCGGCGTGCTTGAGGCCGGGCGCGGGCAGGCACAGGGCCTTCTCCTTCTCGGGCGGCGGGGCGGCGGCGGCGCCGAGGTCCAGGCCGGCCTTGTCCAGGCTCCCTCGCCCTTTCTTGATCAGGATTTTGGTTTTGACAGCGGCCGAGTCCCCCAGGGTCACGGCAGCAACCTCGGGCCCAGGATCGAGGGACGAAGACTTCTTGCGCCCCGTGACCTTCTTGGCGGACGACGACGACGCGGCCGCCTCTTCCCCGCCAGCCTTGTCCTTGACCGCCCTGCCCGCGGGGAACAGGGCAGCGGCTTGGATCTCGGACCCCTTTCTGCGCTTCTCTTTGCGGGACTCCCTCTTGTTCTCCTTCTCCCGCTCGCGGTCGCGCTCTCGGCCCTTGTCCTTCTCCGCGGGCTTGTCGGCGCCGTCGCGGTCGCGGTCGCGGGCCGGCTCCTCGGGGGCGCGGTCGCGGGCGCGGCCCCGGTCGGCCTGGGCGCCGGGCGTGAACCAGGGGAAGAGCGGCGCGGGGCCGCCCGCCGCGAAGGGCTCGGCGGGGGCGCCGGGCCTCCGGGGCCGCGGGGCCTTCTCGGCGGCCTCCCCCGGCGCCAGCGGGTGCGCGGGGAAGGTGAAGGCGGGGCTTAAGGCACTGGCGGCGTGGGGGCTGGCGGCGAGGCTCAGCGAGGCGGCCCCGGGCGGTGGCGTGAGCGGCGACAGCTCGGCGGCGCTGAGGCGGCCGCTGCGCGTGCGCATGGAATGCGACGGCGAGCGCGGCTCAGCGCGCAGCGGGCTGAACACGCGGCGCTTGCGCTTGCGGCTGGGCGCGGCGGGGGCGCGGCCGCCGGGCAGCGTGACGGACTCGAAGATGCGGGAGTGCGCCTCGCTGGGCGTGAAGCGCGGCGCGCGCAGCAGCGGGCTCCGCTTGTGCACGTCGAACCGCGGCCCCGCGTGCAGCGGCGCGAAGAGCCGCGCGGCGCCGGGCGCCGAGAAGCCCGCGGCGAAGCCCACGTCCTCGGGCGTGAGCGGCGGCGGCCGGAAGTTGTCGAAGACGGGCTTGCGGATGAGGCCCTCCTTGGCGTACTTGGCGGAGGAGAAGAAGGGCGGCTCGGCGCGCGAGTGCTTCAGCGACGTCCAGCGGAAGGTGGGCTCGCGCAGGATGGACTTGCGCTTGCCCTGCAGCGGCGCGGCGGGCGCGGGCAGGAAGGGCGACGCCAGCGGGATGGTGGGCGGCAGCAGCCAGGGCGTGGCGTCCGCCAGGCCGGCGGCCGGCTGCAGGGGCGGCGGCGGCGACAGCAGCGGCGGCGGCGGCGAGGCGGGGGCCGCGGGCGGCGGCGGCGGCGGCGCGCTCGGCAGCGCCGACAGCTTCTTGGCCGCCCTGGCCCCGAAGCTCCGCTCCGACGCCGAGTAGCGCCGGCCCCGCCGGTCGTTCCGGTCGCTCTCCGGGGCCTGGGCGGCGGGCAGCGGCGCGTGCGCCTCGGGGGTGTGGCCCTGCTCCTCGGGGAGCCCCGGCATCTCCTCCGAGGCCTGCGAGTCGCTGGAGGTGTCCACGCTGGGGCTGCTGGAGCGCGACGAGTCGGAGGACAGCTGCGAGGAGTGCTGCGAGGCGGCGCTCGACTTGTCGGAGGAGCCGCAGGACGCGGCGCCGAAGCGGCCGCCGGGCGCGGGCTCCAGGCGCGCGATCTTGATGGGCGGGTCGTAGTCCTCGTCCTCGATGAAGCGGCGGGGCGTCTTGATGATGCGCGAGGAGATGGCGCTGACCACGGGCATGATGAACTGCCGGATGTTCTTGACCTGCGTCTTCGCCTTGCGGCCCTGCAGCTGGGCCGCCTCCTTCTCGATCTTCTTCTGCGCCCCCTTCTTGGCGCGCTGCAGCAGCTGCTTGGCGATGGCGGCGTCCGTCCTTTTGGAGGACGGGATGATCCGCACGGGCTTCACCCGCCGAGGGCTCTGCCTCACCGTCTTGTCGTCCTTGGCGGCGGCCGGCGCCCCGTCCGCGTCCCTGCGGGCCTTCGGGGGCTTGTCCGGGGGCGAGCCGAGCAGGAGGCCCGCCGGCGCCTTGACTCTCTCGGTGGAGGGCGGCCGGCCGCGCCGCCGGACAATCTGCACCCCCTTCCTTCCGATCTGCAGCTTCCCCGCCTTGAACTTGGACTTGAGGGGGGAGAGCTTGCCTGCTCGCAGCTTTTTAATCTTGGTGGCTTGCTGGAACGTGGCGGACGGGGTCCGTTTGATCTTTTTCAGGCTGTCTTCTTTGCTTCCCTTTGGTAACTCGGAAACGTCCTTGCCGTGCGTTATTTTGATTTTCACTCCAGGGAAGGTGGGAGGTCTTCCTCTCTTCTTTTCTAAACTTTTAGAGTCTTTCTTCCTGATCTTATCTGCGGGCTTGGTCTCTGGCTTGCCGAGAGGGGGGAAGGCGGGCGGGTCGGCGAGGAGGGCGGGGCTCCGGTCAAAGCCGCTGCGAGGCCTCCCGCGGGGCTTGCGAGGACTGCTCTTGGCTGTGCGACAGACAGACAGACGGACAGACAGCGGGTTAGCTTTGGGTCAGGCTGGAACAAGCCGAACATCACAGCACAAGCCCGTAGCACTGCACTCTACTGCGCCTAATGAGTCAGTATCACATTTTAATTGTGCTTAGTCTCTTTTCCCCAAAAACTTGCCTCAGAAATGGCTTAGAAATCAGCTAAATAACATTCCACCTAAAAGAACACTTACGTGCTTTTCTGATTAAAAAACAAACCGTAACATAGTAAAAGGCTCTCAAATGAGCAATTTATAACATACAAAACTGATGTTACTACAACTTTAGGCGAGTAAGGTTTTCTTCTGAATACAAAAACATGGTAAAAAGAAACCTGTCTGCCTGTTCCTCATCTTCGCCACCAAGATTAACACCTGAGAGCATGTTCACCGCAACCCGTTCCGTCCTTTCAGTTCCGATCTTCGGCTGCAGTGAGTGTGAGCAGAGTGCTCTTCTCTCACCTCCACGGGAAAGGCCCGGAAGGCTCAGCCCTGAGCTGCCGGTCGGTTTTGCCGCAGTAAAACATCCACTGAGGACGTCAGACTGTGCTCTGCATCGGCAGCATCGGCAGCATGTGGACTAGCCACAGCGGTGACATGACGGTGTGCCCATTAATGACCCCCACATACCGCTTCTTTAACTAATTAGTCTCAAATTACACACACACACACACACACACACACACACACACACACACACACAATTAACCTTAACTGATTTAAGAGCAAATTAACAATTTATTAAATCAGATTTCTAAATAAAAGGAATTTGCCAGTTTATAAATCAGCTCAATCTGCTATTTATCAAGAGACTCAAGAAAACAACATTCTTTTCCTAAAATGCTTTGTATAAACCTGTATTTCCTAAATGTCTTGAGTTCCCTAGTCTATCAGATCTTCTCTTCCCACATGAAACTACACCTCTGCTCACAGGCATTAAGGAGATACATGCCATGGGGAGGAACGTTTGGACCATGGAACCAACTTTCTAACAACAGAAACCAACAAAGAGTTTATTGTTGAGCTTTTGAAATATAGAAGCTTCCCTTAATGGAGCCAGGATTCACAAACCCATTCTCACTGTGTACCCCAGTGACAACAGAGGGAAGAATATCCACGTGGCTTTCAACAACAAGACGACACCAGGAGCCTGTCCAAGGAGCCACGGACAGGTGAGCTCCCCCGAGAGGGCCCACACGATGCCTGACCCACCGGGTGACTCAGGCCGGCCACCCAGCCGGGGTAATTCTGAAGGTGCTTCCACCCAGCTTTTCACAGAAGCGGAAAAGGCAGGCAGAGCAGAGCCTCGCTCTGCCGCCAGCTCCCACACCAGTCACAGAACTCCGACCACTCACAGTAACTGCACATGTATCTTCTGGGCTTTGTTTTGGCTTTTACTAGACCACATGATCTGTAAAATCACATTATGATCCCTAATCGGTTGGCTCAGTGGATAGGGATTCGACCTGCGGACTAAATTCAATTCAAGGGCACATGCCTGGGTTGCAGGCTTGAAACCCAGCGGGAGAGGGGGACAGTGCGTGCAGGAGGCAGCCAACCAATGATTCTTTCTCACCATTGATGTTTCTATCTCTCTGCCTCTCCCTTCCTCTAAAACCAATAAAAATATTTTTAAAAATCACTTTATGATATGAAGGTTTAAGATTTCACCACATATTAATGAAAATATTCTACTATCTGAATGGCACAGACACTGGGATCTTACTGGCTAATCCCCCCAACTATAATGGCAATACCACCCTCATTTGGGAAAGGAAAAATTGTCTACTTATGTGTCTGAATCAGATTACTATATAGCACATGACTCTTAAACAACCCAACTGCTAGCAAACCTTACAAACTGTGTCAACGCCAAAGAGCAAAAACACAGCCTATGACATCACATTTACCCAGATTGTCTATCCACATAGAATCAGAGAATCTGCAAGAGTTCAGAATGGCAGCAGAGACAGGGAACGTTTTCTCCAGCAAAAGATCCACAGCCACTCTGCCTGGTATTACTCTGCACGCTGGGGGTCGAGGGTTCACTTTCTGGTCAAGGCACACACCTCTGTGGGTTTGCTCCCCACATCTGGAAGGCAACCAGCCAATGATGTGTCTCACACTGATGCTTCTCTCTCTCCTTCCTTCTCCTTCTTTTCCCTCCCTCCCTCTAAAAAGCAATGGAAAAAATATCCTCAGGTGAAGATTAAAAAAAAAAAAAAAAGATCTATAGCTATCTCCTATTAGAATGGCATTCTGCAAGGCATTGAATGTTATTTCCACTAATATCTGTCTACCAGAAAACTGTCAGTCTAGAACCTCAAGACAGTCTAGGTATTTTCTTGGTGAAAACAATGACAAAAACATTGCTTACAAGTGAAGATACACCATATCGTTTTTGTTTTATTTTAATACTGCCTTTCAAGAATCAGGTAAAACATTCACATTCACACAGTGCTAATATTTTGTTTTTAGTTCTTTGACAATAATAGACCAAACTTCATCTGTAAAAAATAATGACCAAATTATTCCCAAAGTCATAGATAGGGTGGGACAAAAGTAGGTTTACAGTGTTCATATGAAAAATGATGTGAATTATTACTAAAGAATAATATGAAATAAACTGTTTCATGGACTCATAACTGTAAACCTACCCTGTATACTACCATATCATTCAAACACACAAATCTGGGGTGCTGTACCAGGCCCGCCACGCACGGGCATCTACCTCCCAGGCCTCGGGTTCCCCCAGAGAAAGAGGTGGTCACACAGCCTGTTACTGAGGGGGAGGGAAGAGGAAGGTTTACCTCCGAACCCTCGTATTAAGGCCATCCTTTCCATGCACAGAAGGCTAGGGAAGCCACAGTCTCTTCACAAACAAAACGCACAGGCGCCATGCGCATGCTCCGCCGTACCTGAAGGAGACCTGGTGGGACTTCGTACTCTGACTTCTTCATCTGAGCCAAAACCTAAGAACTGCTCATCCTACAACAAAGGAAAATTATTTTAAAGTCAGAAACCAAAACATGAATGTGAACAAACCTTACAAGAAATGCCCAGAGGAGACAAAAACAATTTTGAAAGTTAGCCTTTATATATTAATCGTCATCATTCACATGGATATTTAAAATAGCTGTTGTTGTAATAAATGGACCCAGGCACTACAGCTTCATTACAGACGAATGGGAGCTGCGTATAACTGAGCAATGCATGGACATACCAGCTCTGGTGCACAGGACCCAAGAGACAGTCCTACATTTCAAACTATAGATGCAGCCCAAAACAATTAAAGATCTATTTTAATTTGAGTAATCAAGTCAATACAATGGCAGAAATAGCCCCAATAAGACAAATATCTTCAACAAGTAGTTAAATCTACAAATATATAAGGAGTAACATAATGTCATACTCTCTGGTTTACTCAATATTAATAGAGACTGAAGTTGCCACAATCGTCAGTTCCTTAACTCAGGAACGGACTCCAGCTGTGTGTTCTGTTCACGTGAGATCCAGTGATTCTCAGCGTGCACTTGTGCACCGTTTTAAATGTCCTGTGATGAGAGACGTAATGGTGGGCAGCAGCATCTAGGAGAGCGATCTGAAGTGACCACATGGTGGTGAGATTCATTCAGAAAGAATGCAGGAAAGCATCTTACTCTCAGTTCTACCTAGAAATGGCAAAAGCTTCTCACTTCCAATTTTTAACTTGCCTTTAAGAAAATAAATACCAAGGATTGAATCTATTTTAAACTAGTTCTCACAAAAGATGATCACAAACTAATGAATAGAAATTCACTGATTCCGAGAATAAGAGTTCCTTCTAGAGAGAAATGAGAGAAAGAATTTCTAATTCCAGAAACAAAATCCGCACAAAACAAGAGCAAAATCAGGACCGAAAGGCAGATATTCTTGATCCTCCAATGTATACTGATAAGCCCCAAAGGAAGTCCCAACCATGAGCGCCCAAACTGTCCTCTCGGGAGCGGAGACCGCGCACGTGGCCCACACTTGGCGGTTCTCTGAAGCTGGTTCCCCGGAGGGAAAAGCCTGTGTCCAATGCGAGTCTGTTTACCACTTACTAACCAGGAGCAGAGGAAAAGAAACACCAACCTTTAGGCAAATTAGCAGGTTTGGTTCTTAAATTTAAATGCTTTTAAAGAGCAAAAGTTTGCCAAAACCAGTTTAGCTCAGTGGATAGAGCGTTGGCCTGTGGACTGAAAGGTCCCCGGTTCAATTCCAGTCAAGGGCATGTACGTTGGTTGCGGGCGCATCCCCAGTGGGGGGTGTGCAGGAGGCAGCTGATTGATGATTCTCATCGATATTTCTAACTCTCGCCTTTTTTTTTTTTCTTAGATCCTCACCTGAGGATACGTTGCTGTGGTTTTTTTTATTGATTTTTAGAGAGGGATGAGAGGGGGAAAGGAGGGACTAAGAGAAGGAGAGGCAGAAGGAGGGAAAGAAAGAGGGGGAGGCAGGCCAGGGCTTTACCCTTTTTAAATAAATGCAGTTATAATATTTAAAAAATAATAAAACATTAAAAAAAGAAAAGAAAAAGAGAGAGGGAGGCAGGGAGAGAGGGAGGGAAGGAGAGAAGGAGGGAGGGAAGGAGAGTGATATTTCTAACTCTCTATCCCTCTCCCTTCCTCTCTGTAAAAAATCAATAAAATATGTATTTAAAAAATTAATAAAAATAAAAAAATAAAGAGCAAACCTTTGAGGTTAAGACTTGAGATATAATGCAACAGAGAGACCATTCTCATTAGAATCATAAAAGGCTCTTGCTCTTAGACTGTTAAAATTATTGAAGTATTTATTCAAGAAAAAACGGTAATTATCCTCTTCAAAGAGATTTCTTTGTACAGTATTATAATTCTAAGAAACCTCAATTGAAGGCATACTAAAGTACTTTTTACACAATCTCTTCTTTAATCATTAAAATTTAAAGTAAAGTCTTATTTAAACATCATTTGTGAATAAGAAAAACCCTTCTGTTTTCATCTTAAAACAAGTTAGGGCAATCTAGGACATATGGGGCTTCATCCCAAAAGCATTTCTTGAATGATTTTAAGATTACCCTTGTAAGATACAACATTATATAAAAAAAAAAAAGTCCAAACTCACAAAACAATCAAATAATCCAAAAATCTCTTCACAATTATGGAAGTTCCATATTGTTAATTTTTAAAATGTATTTTTGGGCCCCGTGCAGTGTGGCATCATCTCTTGTCCTGAAAGGTTGCCGGTTCGGTTCCCTGTCAGGGACATGCCAGGGTTACAGGCGTTATTCCGGGTATCGGGCATGCAGGAGGCAGCCAGTCAATGTTTCAATCGCTCACATCAAAGTTTCTCTCTCCCTCTCCCTCTTAAAAAAAAAAAATTAACAAAAAAATATTTTTAAAAGTACTATTTAAAATAGTAATCCTAACATGCACTTTGAGGGGAAAAAAAGACAAATAAAATAGGCCATGGTAAATTGCCTCAGATGCAGTAAAAAATAAAACAAACCAAAATAGCAGTGTGTGAGAATTTGCCAGGGGCAGCCCCATCTGCCGGCTATTGCACGTGACACCTGAGAGTGAAGACCTGCCTGCGGTCTCAGCTCCGCACGCGCAGGTTCAGTGACATCAGTCACGTCACTCACTACTTCCATATCTTAATTTCATCATTGGAGTGCAGTCCTGAGTAAATATAACGAATTAGGGAAATTACATAATTGATGTAAACTCATGTAGGAAACTAAAACTATCCACACTGCAGTCCTATGAACTCAAGTCCTGAGGGCCAAAGGGCTTCCCTGAGATCAGGTCCGAATGGACTTCCTTCCACAATAGTTACAGCTTAAACTACAGCCATTTAAAATAATCAAATAAACCGCCTGCAGTTCAAACTCTGATATTCTTTCAGCTACCGTTAAAGAAAGATGATGTCTGTTTTCAGACCCTTAAAATATCTGCTTTGATTCATTTTTTCCCTGCACCATCCTATCCTCATGGAACACCTGCTAAGGCATGTATTTCTTAAGGAGACATCTGAGGACCTCCCACCTCTTTCCAGGGGGCTGCACTGCTGTGCGCACGAACTTCCTGTTCCAAGTGCTGCAGCGAGAGACAGTCCCATCAGCCATGCTCACGGTAACCAACAGGAGGCAGTGAAAGACTAGTCTGGCTCAGTGGGTGGAGTGGGATCACCGACACCAAAAAGCTGCAGTTTTGGTCCCCAGTTGGGCACATGTGGTGTATGTTTTCTCTTAATGTTTCTCTCTCTCCCTCTCTCTAAAATCAATGAAAACCTATCCTCGGGTGAGAATTTAAAGGAAAAAAATCATAATCTGTAAAGGAAACAGAAGAGGTCCATATGGCTGTGTTTATTATCAGCGACCACAGTGAGTACCTTTCTCTCGTTCACTGTCACTGGCTGTCACTCACTCAATGTCCTGATTGCGTGCGCTCCAGAGCAGCCATCGCTGAGCTGCCCGCATAACCTAGTCCACGCCACCAGCGGGTCAAGTTCGTTAGTTCTCTGCTTTCCAAACGGCACGCCAGTGGCACGTTCCCTATGGTCTTGCACTTAAATAAGAGTAAGCAATCCATCCAAGAACTTTCTTTTCACTCTAAACATTATCAGGTGACTTACTGAAACATGCTTAAGATAATAAGTGCCCACTGCTCACATAACCAGATGGGTTAGCCAGACTCAGAGCCTCACGGAGCTGCAGAGCCCTTCCCTCTCCGAGCGCAGAACTCCCAGCGCCAGAGGTAAGAGCCCTACCACTGTCACGGAGAGCCAGGGAGCCGGCGCTGGGAACGCAGTGCTGGGAGAGGTGCTGACGCTGAAGCCTTCCCCCATCTCCTCGTGACCCCATCACCCCCTTTATTTTTTAATATATTTTTATTGATTTTTTACAGAGAGGAAGGGAGAAGGATAGAATTAGAAACATCGATGAGAGAGAAACATCGATCAGCTGCCTCCTGCACCCCCCTCCTCCCACTGGTGATGCACCTGCAACCAAGGTACATGCCCCTCACCAAAATCAAACCTGGGACCTTTCAGTCCACAGGCAGACGCTCTATCCACTGAGCCAAACTGGTTAGGGCCCATCACCCACTTGAAACACTGGAAAGACTTAGTAACAAGGCACCAGTTCTGGATTGCAGAGGACTTAGACTTTCCTAGAAATCAAAGACGACTGCAAAATGTCTACAAAAAACAACAGGAAGAACCCCAACTAAATCACATCACAGCCCAGGCGCCCTGAGGCAGCAGGTGCTGCACATCTAACTCCTCCTAAGAACTGGCCCACACGGCCACTGACCGCACACCTTCCCTCACAGCACTGCCTGACGAGCACAGCATTCCACGACAGAGCGTAAGCAAGGATATTCTACGGGCTTCAAAGAACTAGATAATGTGACTGTCACTGTGAAGAATGCATAGAGCCTGCTCCGTACAGTCTGTGACTCCGCCTCAGGGTGAAGGGACAAACAGATAAAAGACTGTTTCTGCCTTATGGACCTGGTGGTCTACCAGCAACAGGTGAATAAATCACATATGACAGATGTCATATGATAGCTGCTATGCCAGAGGAATGGATGCAGAAGCACAGCAGAGCTAATTGACGCAGCTAAGGAAAAGGGTGAGGAGAGCCACTGCAGAAAAAAAAGCCCCCATGGAAGTGTGAAGGGTGGCAGGTCGGTGCTTCCCTCCTGGAGTAACAGTTGCTGTGAGAAGAGCCGTTAGAAGTAAGAACACAGCAGACACCCAGGAGCCAAGAGATGCTCCCGCTAAGCCTGGGGTGGTGGACAGGGGCGGTGGGCCCGAGAGGAGCTGCTTCTGGAGGGCGCGTAGAAACACTGCTGACGGGCTATTCGGAATGTGAATAAGAGAAATCAAGGATGACGCTTCAATTTCCTCCTGAGCAACTGGGTAAGCAGCAAAGTGGTTCCAAAATAAGGAGCGAGCGGAAGACGAGGCTGTGAAGGCGCGCA